AACTAAATATGCAAATTTGATTGCCTTTTTCTGTCCAAACTTTCTATATTAGGCTTTGAATTTTAAGTGCAGACTGACTTTTTTGGTGCATAAAGTACACATCCACTAGCTGGAACATTGAACTTGTACTGGAATACTTTCAGGCTTCAGTTTGACTTTTTGTTGTTATGCTAAAAATATCTTGCAACAGAAGAAGCATTGTTTCATGCTCAAAATATGGAGCTGTTTTTGGTTATTCTGTGTTGCTTTGCCCACTTTCTGTGGCTGCTGACAGTTACTTAAGAGTTTAAACTCCTTTTTTCTGAGTTGTGAGTATTTAATGTGGTGAATGTCTTTTCCCAGAAGCTTATGCCAGTGATATATCCCGTGTACATACAAACAAACAAACAAACAAACAAAAGATCCTGCCCTTGAAACACATACATAGAAATTACTTCAATGGTCTTAATTGACCTCTATTTATCACTGTTTTCTTTTCAAAATGGTTGGGTTTTTTTAAGCAAGCACTACCAGAGAACAGTAGTATGTTTTGTACTGAAAAAGTAATGCAGAGTTCAGAAATAAATGCTAGAAAGTGATCTAATAATGTCAAGTACGAGCATAGTTGGCAAAGATTGTCCATTTGGACCTTTAATTCTAACCTTCACTTGGTTTGTTTCTCACTTGATGCACTTCACTGCTCCCGTTACTCAGGCTGTAATGAGGTTTTTTCCCATTCCAGGCTAATTTCTCCCATTTTCTGGTCGCTCTAGAGTCTCAAGAGCAAAACAGTTAAACGTTCATCTTCCCTAATTCGTGTGTTTGGCATGACAGGAGCCTGTTATCTATCCCCAGAAGGCTAGCTGATGAACTGCTTTGCTGACCATGAATTTTTCACCCGACTCCTGATCATGGTGGTGCCAGTGGTTACCTTCTCCTAACTGGAAGGACTGGGTTACTTGGCTCCTGCCCTCCTGGGTTGCCTTCTCACTAAGCTGGACTGGCTGTGTATGTGCAAGTACCTGCACATATTTAAGCATTTCAGTTTTGAAACACACAGATCCTTTAAAGAGCAGTTATCAGTGTTTTGCAATTGAAGTGCCATAAGCACAGTCACTGAGCTGTGCTGCTGAATTCTGTCTTCAATTGCCTGTCAATTCTGTTGAAAAACAGGATGGGGATGAAACTTAGAAGAAAACTTTTTTGAAATCTCAAAACCAGTTTTTGGTAATTCTGAAACAGTTTCTTATTACTCTGACATACTGATGCCTCCTTCTGGAATGTGCTTTCCAGCTGCAAGGCTTTCGTTGCCATACAGTCATAATTTCCTTCTCAATTTGTCTGTAAAGTTCATCTTTTCTCAGCATTTGTTAGGATGAAACATTCCCTGCAAAGCAGAAGAAAGTTGTAGTAAGGCTGTCAGTAGTGATGTGTAAGCACACGTGAGTGTTGGTTGTTTCTGTTTGGGGAGTCTTTCCTTACCTGGTGACGCCTGTGCGTGTGGGTTGGTACAGTTGCTACTTGTGCTGTTCCTCAGAACTCAGCAGTTATCACAGAGGTATTCTGGGGTGCTTGGTGTGAAGAGTCATGTAAAGCAGCTAACAAAGTTACCCAGCAGTAGTTACTGTCTTGGCAACCTTCTGCATGCTCCTCCTGTCAAAGTGATTGGATTCTATCTCAACTCAGACCATTATGCTTGCTCTAAAATAGCAAAGGAATTGTACCTCTTAAGCTCACCTTTTCAGCTTTTGCTGGTGAAGATTCTCCAGAGGGTTTTACAGGAGTTTCCATGATCACAGAATCACAGAATTGTCATGGTGGGAAAGGACCTCTAAGATCACAGAGTCCAAACATCAACCTCAAAAAAAAGAACCCCCAAAATAAAACAAAAAAACTAACACCACAGCCAGTGCCTTCCCACCCTTTCCTCTTGCAGCATGTGGGGCCAGCTGCTCCTGGGCCCTTTGGATTTCCTTCTTGAAGAGTGTTACATGGCAAAGTTTGGCTGCTGCTGCTTTTCTTTCCAGTTTGTGCCAGAGTAATCTGGTCCGAGCTGGGCTGTGAAGTTCTTGCTTGTTTGGGAGGTGCTGTTGGTGCATTTACTCCCACGGTGCTTGCAGGGAACTTTTTTCAGTATCCTGTGGTGTTAACACTTAAAAAAAATGAAATCATAAGCAGGTCTGCAGAATTGATGATTGCTTCTGCTATAGCACATTTTATATCAGATGTTTTTTAAGTGGGTTGAGAGTCTTTGTTTCATTGTAGTAGATAATTTAAGGGATAAAAAAAATCCATGGGCTCAGAAATGGAGAGATTCTGATTATTGAGAGAAGCGTGTGGAACATTGTTCTGTAGTTGCTGGCAGTGTCCAGACTTGAGGAGGCTGCATTTCCAGTGTTTTCAGCTTACTGTTTTGAAGGTTGCAGTGCTGTTTCTTCATTTTAAAATAATCTGAGTTACAACATTTGCACCAAACTCCAATTTACTCATGTTTTGGTAAGATTCAACTGAAGCCATTCTATGACTCCTCTGGTTTCTGAGCAACTTACAATATATTAATAATTTTATGTGTTTCATTATGTTTAACACTGACATGTACACTGTAAAGGTTTTCATTTTACTTATCCTCTTTGTTCAGTAGAAGGATTAGTTTAATCTTAAAGTCCAAGTTATCTTTTAGGGTACCAGTCTCTACAAAATTGTTGCTTTAGTCAGCCATCCTTGTCCCTTTTTGTATCTTAAGGGAAAAAAAAAAAGTAGTTTCTTAATCAGATTGTGCCTTCCAGTTGCATCCCTAGGAGCAACAAAAGTAGGATTTGATTTCCATTCTCAGAGCTTCTTGTGTGTGGTTTTTAAAGCTATTAAGTTGTTTCCATGGTAACTTTGACCACTGAATAAGAGCCGTGGTGTTGATTGATGCTTATGAAACTTTTTGTCCAGAAGCTATGTGGTAGTGGAAAATGTACAACTCTGAGGTTTTGAAAACAAGAAGGCAGGATTCCACAGAATCTTTCCTTATGTTTTAGCTTGACATCATTAAAAAATTGCTGAGAGGTCATCTTCCTCCTGTTCCAGAACTGATGATTGTCTTGTTTTACATTGGGTAGATAACAAGAATTGTAATGCATATTTAAAGTGTTGTTCTGGTAGCTAAAATACTTGAAGTTATTAACCTTTTAAGTTAATATCAAATAATTTGGGCCTTCTGTGTGCATCAGTGTGGCATCTGGTTATATTGGGGCATCATAACAAATTGTATTTTAACAGCTATTACTCATGAATTTTTCTAATACTGTTTCCCGAGTACTGGGTTGTTGTGTGGAAAGCATGAAGCATTTCCTTGTAGATCCCACAAGCTTCTTAAATCTGGGTCTTCTTTGTCATATGTGTAGATCCAAGTATCTTAGGGGTATTTTGCTTTAAGATGATTGAAAGGTCTAGGTTTGGCCATCAGCCCAATTTATACAAAATAGAAAATGCAGGATTAGGGTGAATGAAATATACAGGATAGATTCAGAGGCTTAGGTGGTTGTGAGGAAAAAAGTATGGCTAGGAAAAAAGCCCAAATAATCTTTTAAATACATGCAGCTTTGGAAAATAGAATTAGGGAATTAGACATTAACATCCAGGCATGTTTGGTTTTCTTATCTTCTCAGCATACTTCTGAAAAAAAGAGAGCAAGAGTCAAACTGAGACAAGTACTTTTACTTTTCTCAAGGGTTAGGTTTGTTGTTTTCTTTCTGACACAGGGTGGAAGTTCATTGTATGCAGTGAAGGCTGTCTGTAGTGGAATGTGGTAGGAGAACAGCTGTGAGAGACTGAAGGCAGCAGTTGAATGACAACAGAATGAACAAGAAATGGAGACCTTGTAGAGAGAGCCACATTTATCTGAAGTGTGTCCTTACTGTAAGAAAATAAACTTGGCATGAGGAACTCACATTTGAAGAGATATTCCTTCTCCTTTGTTTGTCTTTTCTTCTACTTGTGCCTTGGGTTTCAGTATTTTAACCATGCCATGTGTTGCTCATGGACTTGTCTAAAAAATGTTCTTACATCAATTTTGTTTAGCTATTTTTTATCTTTGGTCCTACCAATTCAGTTTCAAGAGTAGTTAATGTAAATTATTGAGCAATACCCTAATTTGGGAATTAAAAAAAGCTGTGGGTAGTTTTTCAGCACTGTGTCATCTGAAGAGAAAAAACCTGGACCCTTCAACATGTATTTCTGCTGTCTTTGGATAATTTCTCTGAGCACTGTATTTTTCTATTGGTTTGAAACATTTTTGATTCAGCTAAAATTGCATTTCCTTCAACCACCCAGACATTTCTCTGTGCTGAGTGTACTTCACTGTTTTGTTGTACCACTAGTGTGCTGTGAACCAATAGCTTGAGTTTTCCTTACATAAAGAAATCACTGTTGCTGTCAAATTGCACATACTGGACCTCCCTGTTTTAAAACAAGAATAAAGCTTAGCCTGCCTGCCTGTAAGTAAACCCTTTAGTGAGCTACCTTTTAATTGAGAGTACACAACTAAATTCCTCCTTTAACTAGTTCCCTAAACAATATTTTCAGAGTGATCCTAAAATACCTTTTCAGCTGTAAAAATACTTTTATCTTCATAGGAAGCTGGGTTTTGCCTCTAAGAATGAAATCTGAAAAGTACTTACTTTGTTGAAAGTGGGGTCTTTCTTCCTGTCTCTACTACACTAAAATAAAATCTCAATTATATGTTGATCTTTTTCTAGTGGTTACCTGGATTCTGCAGTGGGGGGTGCACATAAGATGAGTCATGCTGAATGCTTGCAGGGAAATGTTTGTTTGTTTTTTTTTTCCTGTGGTAAATGCTTGTATTTCAATAAAACTCTGTGCTTTTTATGTTGGCATATCACAAAATGGATGACAACATTTTATTTTTAGCAGGTGACTCCTGCCCAGAGAATGCCTTTCAGGTCGTAGCAACATCTGGCCACAATGCAGATTTTCCCATTGGCACCCAGCCAGGCTCTGGGGACAATTACAGAATGAACTTGGCTAAAGGAGTCTCAATGTCGCTGCCATCCTCACCTCTGCTGCCACGCCAGTCCTGTTTGGTGCAGTCAAGAGCAAACAAAAAGTCTCCAGGTAAAAACGAAACTGATTAGCAACTAAAATCTTCATAGTGCTTTACCTCAGTATTTAATACACTTCATATAAAGTGACAAAGTAGAATTATGTTCATCTTTTGCAGTAAGAGCAAGATGAGTGAAGGCTTTTTGCATGTTCCCAGGGAGAAGAGGTTGTTGAGTAGGTAGAATATCTTATTTAATATGGCAAATAATTACTCTGTTGGTATTGCAGAATGTCCGAGTGTGCTTAAAACTGGTTATTTATGGTTGGTGTGTCAGGTAGAACACAGTTGCAGAAACCTCTGTTTGTTTATGCGTTACTGGCTGTGTAAGAGTGAATGTTGTTTGTGGCTTTTCCTGTTCATTTTTTTTACTAGTATCTACTTACGTAAGTGTATTAATAGATAAAGTGCCACTGAAGTTGTGACAATTAGTTGATTTTCAGTGGTTGTGTCCTTAGTAATGGCTGCATTCTTATGTGTGAGCCTTGCTAAATAAGGTACTCTATCTGGTCCCCTTTTTATCAGCATTCTGTACATATAAATCATTCCAACACGCTACCATCACTTGGGCTCAGTAGGGTCAAAGCTTGAGTGTCAAGTGAAATGGTCCATATACCCATGACTTGTGGCGACACTCAGCAGTCTTGAGGTTCTTTGTTGTAAAGTTAATAAGATCTAGCAACAGAGAGTGTCAAAAGTAGTGTTTTGTCAGCACTGAGAAATGTCTTGGTTAACAGCCCATTTTACATAAAGAAAAAATGTGGCTCAAAGAGTTGCCACAAGATAGTGGCATACACACAGTTTGTAACAGGTATTCTTGGTGTAAAGTGGCTATCAAGATTTATCTTTTCCTTTCAGAATTAAGCAATAATAATCTCACTTGGTTTTAAATAGCTCTGGCTTGTTTTTGTCAGTTCACAGAAAAATTTCAAAAAGCCACTTAACAGAAGTCCAGAAAAGTATACCAGGGGAGTGTGTTTTCCTTAACTTAGATTCTTCTCTGCTGTTTGCTGCTGTTAAAATAGTCCCAGATGACCCTTTTGTCAGACCTGACAGGACTTCCATGGTGCAGACACAGTTCACACATAAATGGCTCCTTTTTCATCCATGGATTAATTCTTTTGTCCTGTTCTAAATTGGTGCATGAAAATAAACTTACCATGATTTCTCTTAGTTATTGTCACGTTGTGTATCAGATCTGCAAGCACTGTAAGTCACCTCACATTAGTTTGTGAGGAGGAAAATTCAATATGGGGTCTATGTCACAGCTTAAACTGCGTGTGTTAAAAATACATCCTGAAGGTATTTCCATTCTGATCAGTTTTAAACGACTGCTACATTTTCTGGTTCTTTTTGAATCTTTGCTTTTTGTTGCTCAACTTCCATACATCTAATTAGATAAATCTAATTATACTTATGCTTATAAATGACTGACTTGGACTACTGTCTTCTTAAGGAATGTGATTTTGTTTCAAAGGAATGTATTTTTAGCAGCTTTCACCAGGGCTAGTGCCCCTCATTTTTTTTAAGCAGTAGTGTTGAAAGAGCACCCTCTGGTGATAGTTGGTAACCAAGCTGTGTCTTTTAGTTTAAAAAACGTAATGGTCTCATAGTCTCTAGTTAGAGATACTGTAGTGGGGTCTGTGAGGCCCTGGGGAGGTGTGTGAGGCTCATGGGAGGTGTGGGAGGCCCTGGGGAGAAGTGTGAGGTGTGTGAGGCTCATGGGAGGTGTGTGAGGTCTGTGAGGCTGCTGGGGATGTGTGTGAGGTGTGTGAGGCCCTGGGGATGTGTGTGAGGTGTGGGAGGCCCTGGGGATGTGTGTGAGGCGTGTGAGGCCCTGGGGAGGTGTGTGAGGGCCCTGGGGAGGCGTGTGAGGTGTGTGAGGCCCTGGGGAGGTCTTTTAGGCCCCGGTGAGGTGTGTGAGCCCCCCGGGGAGGCGTATGACGCCTCATGTGAGGTCTGTAAGGCCTGTGATTTAGCAGGCCATGTGCTGTCTGGTCAGTCGCAGTGTGGTCTGGCCTTGTGCTACTGGGGCCAAAATGGAGAGTGTTGCAACTTGTCTTTGAAAGGTGTCATGAGCCTTAGAGTACTCATGAAAATGAGCAAGAAATTGGTGTATTTTTTAATGTAGCACCTGAGGCTGCTGCCAGAAAGAAGGATGGGACACTTTCTATGGCTGCAAGATAGCCTAAATATACTGTGTTTTTTAAAATGAACTCTTGGATGTCTTAGAGAACTTGGACGTGCCCTTAAATTTTGAAACAAGGATGAAGGAAGAAGGATGTTATTTGAAGACCCCAGTTGAAGACAAGAAACCCACCTTATCAAGGGCAAGGTGGTGCAGTTAGCATCAGTCCAGCAGTCTCTCTCCAGGGCTTTCTGGTTGCCGTTTACTGTTAGTGAGGGAGATTGCAGACCAGAAAAGTAGGGACAGCTGGAACCTGAAGCGCAGTCCCGAGTTACATACAGGCAATGAGGAGAGGAGGAGGGAAGGCAGGAGGTGTTTGCAGTGTGCAGTTTACACACTACGTACTCAGAACAGCCGGCAAGCCCTGTTCATAGCATAAGCAGATGTTTGTTCATCAGTAGTACCTATGTGTATGTTTTCTGGCAAACCTTCGGAGGGCAGCATCGTTCCCCTTCTGCTAGATGAGCTGTGTGATTCACGTTTCTTCTGGCTGTTTCTAATACGTATTTAGAGGAGAACAGGATCATAAACAGCCTGAAAGCAGAGCATGAAGGTAAAAGTGATAGTAGACTGAATCAGTTTAATTTTTGCAAAGTGTGTGTGAACACACAGTTCTTGGTACTGAAGCTGAACTTAGTCTGTACATGAAGTGGGAATGCTGCTGTTTCATGAAACCAGAAACACTAGTAGCCACTAATGTTTTCTTTTGGTTGTTGTTGTTGTTGTTTTTTGTTTTTTTTTTCACCATTCCTTACGATCAGGGCCTGTGTCAGTATTTGGAGAAAGTGCAGTGTAATATAAAGCTTCTTGGGTTTGAATTATTTAGTGTGTTGATGTTGCAGGCTGTCTGCCTGTACTCTTTTTTCCTAGCTTCAAACATGCAGATAACAAAATTGTCTTCCTGTTATAATGGAAAATAAAAGCTCTAAACCAAGGAGGCCTATTGAAAGTTGCCTGAGCTGGAAGATTAAAAAGTCAGCCACTTTACATACACAGGAAGCCTCTTCAGGTTTGTCAGAGCAAGCACATGGGTTTTGTTTTCCACAGGCTGTGCATTCCTAAAAGCCCAGGGAGAGTGTTTGTTTCTCACAGGAGTGGAAGTGCAGCAGCTTGCTGATCTTTATGGTAGCAGCTGTGCATGTAAGAAATAAATCCTCTGGTGGTTGTTTTTTTTTCTTTATCGTGGAGGACAGACACTGCACATAAGGAACTTTCATTCCATCTGGAAAAAATTAGGATACACTCAGCTCTTTCCCATTGCAGGTCTGGTCAGGAAGCCCAAGTATGTGGAAAGTCCTCGGGTGCCAGGTGAGGCAGCTCTGCCGCTGAGAAAGGGATCAGAGGAAAGAGAACCCAGCCAGAATGGTAAGTCTGCTCAGTGATACTCTGTGGGTAGAACAGCTGTTCATTTCAGGCAGAATGATACAAGCAGCCTGCACAGTGAGGAAATCTGACTCTTTCTTTGTAAGAATGTTTTGCAGATTTGTCATGTTTGTGCTCAAGAGATGGTCTCTGTTACACTTATGTGATCTTGGTAACTCTCAGGTCTTGGAGCTGTGCATGTACTGCAGACAAAGTGGTGTGTGAGTGGTGTTGGTTGCTACACATGCCAAAGGCCAACTAGAATTTTTCTGAGCTTGTTTTTAATGTAAATTGGTTCCAAGTGTGTAGCTCTGCACTGGGTACAATGCTTCATTTTAAGACATTTTGTAAAAGCTTGCTAAATAAGAAGGCAGTAACAGTAGACTCCTGTGTTGGCAAAGCTGGGAAAAGCTACCTCCCTGGAGTTAATGAGTATTCTTGGAAAGTTTCATGTTCATTAAATTTGACTAGTGCATAACAGACTGTGGCTTTGACAGGGTATGTCATGGTCAAAGCAAAATGACCCATATGTTGGTATATGACTATACACACTGTAATGCTTTCCTGTGCATTGTTTTTGAGATTAATATGTCAGCTTAAGTGACCTCATTAAAGTAATTTCATGTAACTAATGAGGTTCCAGCTGAACAGGTTTTTTGTTTTCCTTTTGCTTCAATTTTAAAGGAAAATACAGTTTTAAAAGCTGACATTTTATTATTTTTTAAGTCCCTTATGTTTGATACTAGAGAAAACAGAAATAATTGTAACTGTTTTCACCATCTTCTTCTGCATGCCTTATTTTATATGTTATAGTTGTGTCTCCATCTTCACAGCCATCTTGGTGCTGGCATTAAAGTTTTATGTCTGACTGGGAGAGCGTGTAGTCCTCCCCTCCCTAGTCTGAAGGTGACCATCTCATGAGGATCCTCCTCTTCACAGAGTTGTACTCCCAGACAGGGAAACTGCTGAAGGTCAAACTCTGGTGTTTAAGGATTAAACAGTTGTTGCTGGGTTGGACACCCTAGATTCTTGGCTTTTATTAGACTGTTGCTTTTGTCTCTGAATTTGATATTATGCCTAACATTTACTCAGAGTTGTCAAAGATTTGAAGTTAAGTACAATGATAACAGGGTTTTGTAAATTTGATAGAAGAATGAAGACGTTGATTCCACAAAGTCTGTAATTTCCAGGATTGTAATTTTAAAGATTAATTATAATCCTCAAAATTACAATTTTACAGAGAAAATTTATTGTCTTTGTAAAATATTCTAAGACCTGTCCATTTGCAAAGTATTCTGAGATACCAAAACTTCTGCTATCTACTGTCAAAAAGGCACCATTTCAGAAACTTACTAATTTTGGGATCAAGGGAGAACCAGACAATTCAGTTTTACAGAGCAAAACCTTAAGCTGTTCACAGAGTTAAGAAATATGTGCTTTTGAGCAGGCATAGAGCTGGAATGAAATATGGGATGATTAAATAGTAAACTACTTGTGTTTGCAAACCCTGGCTATCACAGGTATCATAGATCGTCATGGTGGGAAAGGACCTCTGGGATCACCAAGTCCAACCATCAACACAAACCAAAAATAACCAAAAACACACCCCACCAAAAAACACTCACAAAAACCCCACAACCTCAGCCACTAGAACATGCACTGAAGAAGAAGCCACATCTACATGTTTCTTGAACACCTGCAGGGATGGTGCCTCCACCACTTCCCTGGGCAGCTGTTCCAGTGCCCGACCACTCCTCCAGTGTAGAAATTCTTCCTGCTATCCCATCTGAACTCCCCTGGGGTAACTTCAGGCCATTTCCTCTGTTGTTACTTGCTTGGGAGAAGAGCCCAACACCCACCTCACCACAGCCTCCTTTCAGGTAGTTGTAGAGGGCAACGAGGTCTGCCCTCAGCCCCCTCTTCTTCAGACTAAACATCCCCAGCTCCCTCAGCTGCTCCTCGTATGACTTGTTCTCCAGACCCTTCCCCAGTAATGCTTACTGGAGAACTGGGGGCAAAATGTGCTCTTTCTTGCAAATACCACTGAATGTCAGCAGTGTCTGATGTGGTTAGATACCGTGCTCTTCAGGAAGAGTAAACCCTGCCCTGACACTCTCTTGGCTCAGCAAAGTCATGAAGGAAAGACCAAAGGAAAAGGGGCAGTTCAGGCTCCCCCTCTCTGCCTGTTGGTGATGCAGAAGGCAGATTTGCAGCCAAGAGCCTTGTCTGTCCTCTTTTAAACTTCGCCAGTAAGCCTGTGTATGTAGCTTGCTGCATGAAGTCTCCACATTTTAAACTGATAGAGCTGTGGGGATGTCCCTGCTGTCTCCCAGCTGCGTGGGGATGACATCCAGAAGCTCAGTGCCTGCCCAGACAGCACTGGTTGGGAAGCAGCAGTTTTTCCCTCCTTGCAGAGTCAGGTGGCAGCTACAGAATTTCTGTAGCTGAGAATTCTGCTGTGAGCTGGTTCTCAGAGTAGTTGTTAGATGATGCTCCTTGATTAGTTGACTGCCTCTGCTGGAGGCCTACATATTACTTTTTATTTAATGGACAAATGAAATAAGTACTGAATAAATGTTTCTGCTAGGAAGAGCATTATAGGTTGGTAGGTGATGCCAAACTGCTGGCATGAAAGAAAGAAAACAGCAGAAGGTACTGGTTTATATTTAGCTGTGGCTGTTTTCCCTCAGCAGGTCCCTGATAGCTGATTATGTTGCAGGTTGCCTCATGTTTAACTTTGTCTTATTATATCTGTTGGACACCACAAGATATTTTAAAGTACTGTACTGATAAAATTAAATATTTTTTCAACCAGAAAAGCTAGGACATTTAGAACTGGTGTCACATCCTTTGCATAGCAAGCACAATAAAAAGATATCAGTTGTAGAGTTAGCGATGAGATTACAAAACATCTGTATTATTAACCTCTACTTTTAGTGTTTTTAACACTGCAGAATACTTCATAAAGAATTAGTGGTGCAGAATTTCAGTCTGCCACTGAGCTTGGGTAGTGTTGAGTTTGATGTTTCTGTTGGGAGAACAATCCCATCACTCAACAGTCCAGTGACGACCTGGTTGCACTTAACTACTTCTGTTTTGACTGGCAGGTTAGGTTTCTTTACTGCCCTAGATGTGTGCAGATATGCAGAAGATCCAAGACCCACTAGTGTTTTAAAGCCTAATGGACAGAGTTTAAATGGCAGTAGCTTCTCTGTTAGGTGTATTGCCGACAGAAGAGCTGGTGTTTGTAATTTTGTTCCTCTTGTGATGGTCTCCAAACACAGGACTCTAATCTTCACCAACTTTTTTCCCCCCACTCCAAAGCAAAGCCTGGTAAAGACTCGAGCTGTTCTCCTGCAGCACAAGAACTGATGACAAGATTGGGTTTTTTACTGGGAGAAGGGATCCCAACTTCTGCTCATATGGAAGAGAAAAATGAAGTCATGGTAGGATAATGGAAAATCATATACTTTACATTCATCCTATTTCTGAGAGAACTAATGTTATTTCCCCTATTTGCTTGTTGCAACTACTTGATACGTACTAGAAAAAAATCCATTTTAATAGACATATGGCTTTAGAATTGTAAATTAATTATAATAAGTGTTTGTTTGAAATGGTGTGTTCATCTTGCATTCTAAAAAAAACCAGAAAGAACAGAGTCCTCATAATTTCTGGAAGTTTAATCTAATCTACTGTGACTGTGAATAGCTTCTAGGGTTCACTGAGCCTTATTTTAGTATTTAGGAGGAACTTTTTTTCCTTCCATTCTTAGTGATTTATGAGAATGGAAAATGTCAGTGGTTTATTACAATAGTAACTTGCTTTTGGGGCGTACATGTTTGTTTTTTCCTGAGAAGTTCACTTCCACTTGATCATCTTTCTGTCATTTAGGGTAGAGGAACTGGGGAGAAGCAAACAGCAACTATCCATTAGAAATTCATCTGCTAACCGAAACTACTGTAGCTGCCACTTTCTCTCTTCCCTTTCCTCTCTCTGGGTTTTCAGTCCCAGGCCTCATAAATCTAAGTTCATCAGTTTAGGTTTCACTGATAGTGAAATGTGAATAAGACTGCAGTTCTGGTGGTTTTAACCCAAAGAATAAATGCTGGAGGGGAGGGGTATCCAGTAAAATGTTTAATAGAAGAAATATGCCTCACTGCAACTCTTTCACTGAAGTGTGAAACTCCCTTTTTTTCTTCAGAAGTCACATTTTAAGAGTAATCTGAAAACACATCATTATGGTTCGCAATCCAGATAAATCTTCTGCTCCTTGAAGTTTTTGCTTGCAGAAAAGGCTCTTTGCTTTGTTATTACTCTGCTTCACTTGGATGTTCCGAGTTTTCAGTGCTGCCTCCAGTGCAGTGACCGTTAGCTTTTCTTCTCCCTGCAGTGTGCAGTGGCCAGTCAAGGAGTGAGTCCATGTTCCACCCTGACAAGCAGCACCACATCACCCAGCACCGACAGTCCCTGCTCCACTCTCAATAGTGGCGTGGGCAGGGCAGCAGCTCACAAAGGCAGCCCCTGTGGAACCATCAGCAGCCCTAGCTCCACCCTGGAGAGCAAGGACAGTGGAATTATAGGTAAGCTTTAATTTGTGATGCAATTAATAGAAATTAATCTTCTCTTAATAGTACAAGTCTGAATAGCAGTTTCATGTCATTGTGTTCTATTTTATGCTGTCTGTGGGTCCTGTTTCAAGTCCTCTCTACTTGAAAAATTGAAATTGTGTTTGTAGGCTTCAACAGTTGCTCTAGTTAGGTGTGCATTTCTCTCCTTTTGTTTTTGTGATGCAGCTCTGATTTCTCCATGCTTTCCTTTAAGATAATTAATTTCCTCTGTTGAGCTCTGTTTCTTATTTTCTTCTACCTTTTCCCTTTTCTGTTGCATTTCCACAATGCATTTTGTAGTGGTGAAACGCAGCATAGCTTGAAGCTGATTTGATTTCCAGCCAAGGAAAAAGCGATTGGTGCTACTTCTCAGGAGAATAACCTAAATCTAACTGTTAAAAACAGGGCAAACTTTTGGGTTTTTGACACTAAGATGAAGCTAAAATAGGGCATCATGGAAGAGGTGGAAATGGTGGGATCCTCTGCTGAATAGATGTCTGAACTGAGGCCATGCATGCATCTCCGGTGGGGAGCCCATTGTCTTGAGAGATGCAGCTACCATCACAGCCCCAGTTGTTTCATAGCTCCTTTTTCCAACTAGCTGAATATTTCAGTAAGTCTGTTCAGATCTAAAGAAACAGGCTTAAATGGTTGTACAGTTATATTGGTGTCAATGTAGTGTATGACTAGAAGAAGCAGTAACACCTCTTGTTGCAAAAATATTTATCTGTCAATATACTGTAGCCATTTCCTTGTTTAAGATGTGTCATAGGGGTTATACATTTTCTAAATAGTCATTTAAATCAGTTCTCTGATTGACACAAGGGTCTATGAGAGTTGGGCTGTCAAAACAGGCCTCGCAGGCAGGAGGACGTGATTACACAGACACCTCCACCTTCATCACTGCCCCTGCTGAAGCTTTTCTTAGCTCTGCAAGTGAAGTGTACACTCACTGTTAGGCACTGCTGCTTAGGCATATTTCTTAAAAATCTGAGGCCTGTGTTAAGGCTTCTCTGTGGTGTTTGTCTTTTATAAACAGAGAAGTCATGCTGGCTTGGAATTAGTTGTGTGGAGATCTAACCCAATGTGTATGTTGACTTGCTGAAAAGCTTAATGGGCTTTGCAAAAATATTTAAGGACTGCACACTGGTTTGCATGCAACTTTTGTTTATATTGATGAGGTGGCACCAATGTGTATGTAAAAACTGGCATTACCGATACACTAAACTGTTCTCTGGTACGTGGTGCAGAAGGCAAAGAGGGATCTTGTTTCTCAGTTAGTCTCGTACTTGGGGCCTTGCTGAACTCTCCTGTGCAGCACTGCAGCCTGGAGGAGTGATGCCTGCATGTTTTGTATGCCCAGTTTAATGTCACAGAATCTTACAAGATACTTGATGAAGTCTTGGAAAGTGTCAGTAACATATAATGCATTCAAAAGTATAGAAGCAGCTGCTGGTTTTGAAGTGGAATGTGTTCCTTCTTTTCTTCCAGAAAGGCAGGACAATAGGCTAGAGCTCTGTTCTTTAACTTTTAAAGCCTGTTCTTGAGTGAGAGCTATTTCCTTCTCTCAAGTGGACAAATGCGGATACTGTTATGAACCTACTACCCATGGTTTTCAAGCCTGATATGTTCTGTTAGTATGTCCATGTTCTAAATGGCATTTTGTTGTGTTTACTTCTGCCCACGACTGTCAAGTCACCCCATGATTCCCATCATGCTGGGAAGGATCCTGGCGTGGCAGCCACGTCAGCATAAGAAAGCTCTTTGTTGTTTGCAGGACATCTTAAAAGAGGTGGCCTTTTTGGAACAATCAGATTATGTTATTCCGTATTTACATCCAAATTCAATTAATTCTGTGGCCAGGTCAGCCCAAGTGTAATTTCTAACCAGAGCATTCTCAATTCTTCTTTTATTCTTCTAAATGACATTCTAAATTTTTTAGCTCCAGGCAAAAAAATCCAATCTCTCTCAGCTTTTCCTCAGAAGGGTCCATGAACTTCTGGACATCCAGTTTGGCCAAGTGGTCTCTAACCCAGTCGTCCTCTACTGAGGGAAAGTCTTCCTCTCTCCAGACCTTTCCTCTTGCCTCCAGGGTCTGGGATTCACCAGGAGTAGCTTTAGCAGTGAAGACTGAAGGAAAGAAGGCACCAGTGACTGCCTTCTCTGTGTCTTCCACCACTAGGGTGCCCACCTCATTCAGCAGTGGGCTTGCATTCCCCCTGGTCTTCTTTTCCTATTTGTATACTGAGAAATCCTCTTCCTTCGAGTGTGTATGGGTCATGATCATGGGACTGTATGAAAATTGTCTCCTGCAGTTTTGCTGTGCCTGCTGTCATTCGTGTCTGGAATTCCTTGAGTCTGAACACCCCCTTGGCAAGCCCATGGCAGCACCCCTTACATCCACAGAGGCCAGAAACTAGGACAGGAAAGACAAGGCACCTCTGATCAATTCTTGTTTCTGTTTTTTAAATGCAAACATGTCTGTGCATTCAAATGTGTTATTAATAATAGATCTGCATTTTAAATTATGTTTAGCAAGTACATGTTTTCTAATGTCTTTGACAGAGTTCATCCAACCAGGGAATAGCTTGCATTTTCATGCTACTTATGTGGGCTTCCACTGTATTTCTACTCCCACTGTGTTTTCTGGGCCAGCAAACTCTGGGAAATTTATCTTTTATCCCTTTCCCTCTTTTTTTTCTTCAGCTTTCTTCTAGTTTTCTAAGGTTTTACTGCTGTAGTTGAATTCTTCTCTGCGTCTAGTGAGTTTGACATAGTAGTGGAGGCAGGTTTTAATCTTCAGCAATGAGCTAAGTAGGAGAAAAGACTGGGCTACTGGCCAAAACATGAGCTTTTCTGGATGTTTGCCACTGTTTCAGTATGGAAATCTTGAGTAGCAAGGTTTCCTGATGCTACACTTCACACCAGGAAGAATCATCGTTTTAAATATTTCATACTTCAGGAGGAAAGACTTTTTTTTTGCATGACTGTAAGAATGAAATTAACTTGTCATACAGAAGAACAATCTAAACTGTGTGCAAAGGCAATGGAATGACTGAAAGGATTTTTCTTCTGTTTCCTCTACGATGTATGTAGTATTCTTGATTTCTTAGAATATGAGCTCTTGAGTTTTAAGCATCAGATGTTAAATTTCGGGTGATTGTGAGGCCTGTTTATCCTGGGGGAGACCCATATTTCACATAGATACTATTATTTGAACTGGCTTTTAAAAAATATTTTAAATCCTTATGCCCTCTCATCCAATGTTGTATTTTCCTTTGGGTGTTTCAAGCATTAAAAATGCATTGAGTGTGTTAAGCTTTAATAAATGTTGTTCAGTTGTTTTGTGAGGATTTAGTCTATGTAATGAAAATATTTTAAATGAAACAGACCAATTTCACTGTGAAACATACAAAACCCAGTATATATTTGCAAAGTGTTTTTATGTGAGCACATTAGCATAGTGTTACCAAATGTTACTCCAGTTGGTCTTCAGGACTATAAATTCTTCATGCCTTCAGTTATTGCAGGAGGCCCTGATTAACTACAATCTTGAGGAACTAAAGGTGCCCTCTAGCCTTCAGCCAGCAATCTGGAGTATTTGTATCACTGGAGCTAATGCAGTTAGTTTGTCTCAGCATTCATGGAGTGAGTCACTACAGCAGTGCAAGGCTGCTGTTCCCTAGTGCAGCATCTCAGACACCCATGTGGGCTCTGTCTTGTAGCAGAGCATCTGCCTGGCTCTCTTTTGCTTGTTTTGCAACATCTGAAATGTTCAGAGCAAAAAAGCACTTCTTATTTTCACCTCTCCAGCTCTTCTCTCTGCTCAGGTCTTAGATCAGTTCTTTCATCTGTTAATTGCAGAAGCACATCCATTGTCTCACTAGTGGCTCAACCTTAGCCTGGTTTGGAGCTGGGGGAGGTTTTCAGCTTCTTATAGGAGCCACCCCTGGGGCCCCTCTCCTGCTGCCAAAACCCCCACCAAACCAAACCAGCACAGTACTTCAGAAAGGAGTGCTGGATGGCTCAGCTGCTGGAAGTTTTCTAGCAGAATCGGTTTGCCAGGTATGCGATTGCAGGGTCATTGCCATCCAACTGTAGCTCAGTTTTCTATTTTAGGAGACCTAGATCTATAAACAACATTGAATATTTATAATTTATGCTTCATAAAATGCAAGATGTTTGGTCACAGGTATGCTTGTGAAAAGCCTTCCAACTTTGGGGCAGCTGTGCAAGTTTTTCCAAATAATTGAATTTTGAATTCTTTTTGTAAAATACTAGTCTTAAATAATGTGAATTATCAAAAAGATGCTTTAATTTTTTTTCTTGACCTAGATGCTATTTTTACTTCTTACAGAGCTTCCGTTGTCACCATGTTTACAGAATGGTTTGAAAATTTGCAAGATACGTTACAGAATTTTAATTTTTAAAAGAAGTAGAGGTGTGTTTTAGTGAAGCAGTAGATTCTTCATATGAAGTCATAATGTTTTGATGGTTGTGGATTTTTTATTGATTTGTTGTCTTTTTTTCCCACTAAGCCTGAACTATGTTGATCTAAAGATACATCTGGATTCTTCAGAACATTTTCCTTCCTTTCTCAGGTGTTTTTGCCAATCTGAGAAGCTGTGTTTTGTGTCTCTTTTAGATAAATAATATTCCTTGAATTTAACAAAATGTCCAGTGAATAAATAGTCTAATATCTGCTGGCCAAAAATGCCATTTGAGTATGAAGATAATAACACGTATTAACACGAGTGTGCCATCTCCCTCTGATGTGTACTTTAGTTGGGTTTTTTCCTCTCTTTCTCAGCAACTATAACAAGTTCATCAGAAAATGATGATCGTAGTGGATCCAGTTTGGAATGGAGCAAGGATGGCAGTCTCAGAGCTGGAAAACATCAAGGGATTAGTCATGAGCGAAGAACAGATAATTGTTCACCAGTTGCAGAAGAGGAAGCCGTGGGATCTGCTGAGAACTTGCCAAAAGAAGTACCAAGAGGAGAGGGCCCTGTTCCTTATGCTCAAAGTTCTGGCTCTTTAATAATGCCTCGTCCAAACTCTGTTGCAGGTAAAGTCCTGAGGTAGAAAAATGATGTTCTTAATCATAGGGCATTTCTCTTCAAGTTATGTTGTTAGTATAAAAGTATTTTTATAGGACAGAAAGATAAAAGCATAGATCCTAAACTGAATAGATGAGCATTGCTTGAATTGTTTAAAATTGTCATGGAGAGGGATTTTATCCTGCTTTTTAGTAGGTATGGTTGAGTCAGGACTTCTGGAACACTTCAGAAGTCCATCAGTCATTCTAGGACTTTGTCTTGTGTGAACTAATCCTTGAAATTTTTGCTGGTTTGTGTGCTCCCATTAGCTAGGTCTGTAAATCTGATTAAGATCAAAGTAATACTTTGATATCCATAGAACAAGTAACATTTTTATTTTTTTTTTTAAGAACTGTGTGAAATTCTGCCTTGTAGTTGAACAATTTGTTCAGAAAATGTGAGTCTGTTCAGTTGTGACTGATACATCTGTGGCCTTACCCTTACATTTCTGTGTGTTGTGAAATAGACAAATCTGGCAAAGCACTTTGACTTGAAATCTATTAGTAGAGCCCATCAAATTGACAGTAAAGGGCAATTCACTTGCATAAATAGAACTCTGCAAGAAGAATGTTCTGATAGTGTTCAGGAGCATGTGTGCTTGCGTGGGTATCCTCAGTGGTTTTTTTCCCTTTAAATTTAGTGAGAATTTCCCATGTTCCACCCTGTGTTCCTTGCCTTTCATCCTCTTTGTGGTGTCCCTCCAGGAAGGGTCTGATCATGGCCTCCTGTTGGGTACAGACTGACAGGAAGCTGCTGCTGTAGCCATCTCTGTTCAGAGCTGAACAATCTCAGTTTAAACCCTAGACCTCCTTCCCAGTTGGATGGAAAGGAATTCTACCCACCCTATCATGTTTTTAAAGTGGCATCCACAGGAGCCTTGGCTTTTTTTGTCTCTGGCTCTTTTTCTAGTCTTTACATTCTTTTCATTCCATGCTTTAGTCTTCATCCATTGCATTCAGGATTTCTGTAAATTGCTGTGAATTTGGACTAGACTTTAATTTTCAGGCTGGACTTGTGCTACCTCAGTACTGAATGCCTTTGACTCTGAATATGCCACTGCAAACCCTGTTCACATCTTACAGCTTGGACCTGTAGTTTTGACTTCCCAGCTTCACCCTAGGAAGAGATGAAACTCAGTTACTGCTCAGTAAGCCTGTATCTTTCCCATACTGGTCAGTCCAGAATGGACACAGTGCCTCGAGGTGGTCTCTGCAGTCTGAGCAGAGGAGCAGGACTGCCTACCTGAACTTGCTGGCAGCTCTTGCTGATGAGCCTGGCACTGTTGGCTGCCTTGTCAGGAGGATGCACTGAGGTCTGACAGTCTGGCCCTGGCAATGTTATGGCAGACAGTGTCAGAAGCCTCACTGAAGTTGAGGTAGATAACATCCACAGCTCTCCTCCATTCACCAAGCCAGTCATCATCTTGTAGTATCATCATGGGATGGTCTAGGTTGGAAAGGGACCTTTAAAGATCACCTAGATCCAACCCCCCTGCCGTGGGCAGGGGCATCTTGTCGTAAACCAGGTTGCTCAAAGCCCCATCCAGCTTTTGTTCAGTTAACAGCTCCTTGCTTATCCATGCAGGCCTCCTGCCATATTTGCTTTATGCAAATATCCTGCCTGTCAGGATGGCCCCTTCTTGAGCTGCAGGAGGTTATCCTTGAGCTTTTTTGGATCCCTCATGTCTCCAGCACTATACACCATGGGATTCTTCCTAGCAGAACTCTGAAGAGGTTAAAGTCTGTGCTCCTGAAACCTGATGTTGTGCTCCTTTTTGCTCTGATCTCTCATATCAGGATCCTGAGCTCCACCATCACTGCAGCCAAGACTGCCCTCAGCTGTCACATCTATGAGGAGTTGTTCTTTGTATTAGGTCCAGCAGAGCATCTTTTCTTTTTGGCTTCTCAGCTGCCTATGTCAGGAAGTTGTTGTCATTCCACTGCAGAAATCTGAGTAGCTTATGACCTGCTGTGTTGTCCTTCCAACAGATGGAATTTATTTGTTATAAACTTCAAAACTTATTTTTAAAAATGAGAATATAAATTTGGTTTCTTTCTGGTGAAAATATATGTGTCCCTGGTATAACTTGATAAGTATCTTCTATGGATTTTCAGGTCATCTTTTGTATAGCTATCACTGTAGTTTAAAAATTGAATACAATTTAAAATGTTATACAAAATTCTGTAGCATTCAATACAAAAATAATATAAGTGTTTCCTCACAGACTATGTATTCACAGCTAATACCTGGCCTTGTTCCTTGCTCTTCTGAGCACTCCGATAGGGTTGTTCTCGTAATAAAAAGGGAGACTGTACTAACATGAGAGCTGTTTACCACATGGGGAGGTTAAGGCAGATGTGAGGGCCATCTGAAAGGGGAAAAATGAGACTAAATCTTGAGCATTTTTAATTGTTGTAACATTAACTACTTGAACCACTTCCTGTTATCTAGAAAAACAGAACATCTGTAAGTACTTGTTGAGGAAAGAACTAAAATAATAATGTTCTTTGCTGCTTATGCTGAGAGAATAATAAGCTTCAATCCTTTAACCCTCTAGCAACAAGTTCAACCAAACTGGAAGATCTGAGCTACTTGGATGGACACAGAAACGCTCCTTTGCGCACCTCAATCCGCCTGCCCTGGCACGGCACTGCTGGTGGGAGAGCACAGCCGGATGGTAAAGGTCAGTCTGTGTGCACCAGCCTGGGCACAGCCCTGCAGCTATTCACTCCTCTGGGAACAGGGATGTTCTGTGAGCTTCGGACACTCTCCCACCCCGCAGTGATAGTTTGGAGTGCTCCTGACAGAGCACTCAATATGTCTGAGAATAAGACCCTTCCTTACACTTCATCCTGCATCAGGCTGCGGTTTAGAACTTAAACGTATGGGCTCCTAATAAATCAGAATGTTGTCTAACTGTGCATGGCAGGGTTGGTCATGCCAGTCTGCAGACTGAAGGTGTGTGACACCAGTGTTCAGGAACAGAACTGTCTGCAGGCTCTGTTAACTTACTAGTGTCACAAGTGGGTGATGCAGACCACATTAAGAACTACTGTCAAAGCTATGAGGAAAAGTGGTTTTATTGAAATACGATGATGTAGAAGTGCAACTTAACAACATTGTGATGGCAGAGTTCACTCTGTCACTCACTGCACAAAGGCTATAGCCAATACCAACCAATAGCAATTAAAAGCAGGGGAAAAACCAAGCAAATTCCTTATAAAACTGGTCTTGAGTTTCTATATAGATGCAGTGCTCTTCTCTTTCATTTGTGTGTGTCGATTAATGCTGAAGCAGCATTTGTGTAACATTATATTAGGTCAATGAATCCTCAGAGAGTTGTATTAGTGAACATTATTATTTCTGTAAATGTTAATGTATTTTATGTAACCAAACACAAATTAGTCCTTTTTCTTTAAGTCTTGTTAGATATTTTGCAAAATACATAAACTAATAATACATAATAATGCATAAACTAACCCTAACCCTAAACATGACTGCACTTCTGGCTGTGCTGTGTAATTTCTGTTGTTGTGGCTTAAAAAGCACAGAAAAACAGGGTAGCAGTAGTTTTTTACATTACTTTAAAAATATTTTTAGAAAGCCCAAACACTTATTTAGTCTATGTACTTTTTTCTGTTTCTCTGTAAATGTCTTTCTGGATCTAAAGACCTGACATTGAGATACTCAGCAGTGTAGTTCTCTCTAAATTGAAAAATGTTTGGCACTTCCCCCTTTGCAGAATTATTAATGCTTTTTTAGAAAACTTTTGGATTCTACAACTTATTAACTGAAGTTCAATTGTAAAAAAAACAAACCTCAAATTATAGTTGCAGCTTCTCTCCTCTAGAATTTCATTTACATAGGAACTATGGAGGTGAACTGAACTGAGCAAATCGATCTGTTGTTTTCATGATGAAAGCTTTGAGAAGTCTGATTGTGAATGCTGTTAACAAGGTCACTGAATGGAATGATCTGCTGAAAACAGTGCTGTTCTATTGTATGTGGAGTTTCTTCTAATAAACTTTTTTCCCTGCCACCTCTTCAGCTCGTTTCATCCCCTATAAGCCTCAAGACATCTTACTGAAGCCACTGTTGTTTGAAGTGCCAAGTATAACAACAGACTCGGTGTTTGTGGGAAGAGAATGGCTGTTTCAAGCCATTGAAGAAAAACTGAAGAACACTGATCCAGCAGAGAACAGGGGAGCAGTCATCACAGGAAACGTGGGATTTGGGAAGACTGCAATTATTTCACGGCTGGTGGCACTGAGCTGCCATGGGAGTCGCATGAGGCAAATAGCTTCAAATAGCCCTAATTCATCCCCCAAAAGTATGTTTCTTTTCTGTGTAATTGTTTGGGTTATTGTTCTGATAAGAGAGTCTAATGTTTGATTTTTCTGCTGAAGGTAGCTGGGCATCGTCAGCCCCTCAGGAAATGCCTGTTGCCTCCAGTGAGGAGAGGAAACTGTTAAAATAGTGTGCTGTGACAAACACCTTCCACAGAACATAGCATGGGCTCAGCCCAGCAAAGGAGACAGTAAAATGGGGCAGAATGTAGAATCTCTTCCTTCTGTAAGGCAGTGTGTACCCTAAGCTCTCCTGGCAGTGGGACTGTGGTAGCTTGTTCTCCCATTAGTTTAGGAAGAGGGAAGTGCCATGTTCATTTCCCACCGTGTACCTCATGCTTTTCAGTACCATGCATTGTCCACGGAATTTCAGTAGAGGCAGGAGTAAAGCTATGGAGAAACCCATTCTCCTTCTGGGATCTGCAGGTTTCTGTCACCTGACCAATATATAATTTTCATAAGGAACTCTTCACATCAGCATGGTTTTTCTTTCCATAATTGTGTAGTTTTGATCTAAAAGTCTGTTGAATTGCTTTAAAATTGTAAATTTCTAAATTTGTGCCTACTTTTATTGGACTAGTTGTAGGCTTCTTGTAACTCTATTGTTCAGTTTTAGTTTTTACTCGAGCAGTAAAGATATTGCATGATGTTTTCCTATAAATCAATTGCTATCAGCAAACTTTTGTATTTGTTGTCTTTTAAAAATAGGTGGTGACTCTGGTCAGGAGATTCCCTTAAGTCAGTTATCCCCTTCTGCTCCTCAAACAAGTGGCACCAATACAATGAAGACTCTCAGTTGTCCTGATGCTCCAGAATACCAAAATCTAACAGGTGATTCTGTGAGACGCCTTGCTTCAAAGGTGAATTTTCACTTGTTACTAGACTTTCAGTATGTTAGAAAACCTCTAACCTGGAGAGAGTTTGCTTTGCTGGCTGTACCAGTAGTCAGTGGTGGGAGAACAGGCAGTGATCTTGGATATGTACAAAGTGTGTGCCTTTCATGATTGGTGAAACCAGCTATCTGCCTTGGCTATCTTTCCAGTTGTTACTTGAATTCTGCTTGTCTTAGAAAGAGTTATGTTAAAAATTCCACACCTGTTTTATGTGCATATGGGAGGTTGGGATCATTTACTTGCAAAAGGAGTCGTGTGTTTTCTGCAGGTATATGCTCAGTGTACCTTCCAAAAGCAAAATTCTGGGGGGAAAAATAAAAAGATGTTTTGTCTGAGAGAATCCATCTGTATTCTGTGACACAGGTTGGGTCTGTGTGTAGTCTGTTTTACATACTTTGAGAGGCTGAAGTAGGCAATTAAAAGTTATTTTTTTATTAGATTATTATGATAAGTGTTATTATTTTTTTTTCCTAAGTAGTAAAAATAATTAATGTCTGAATTACATACTTCATGCAAATAGTTGTGAGGAAAACATGAGGGTATTGTTGCAGTCTCAGGTGAGTGTATTATTTGGAAACAATGTTATGGAAGCCACTGAAGTGCAGACTTTTTAATTGCACAAACACCATGCTTTTCTTGTGGATTGATATTTTTTAAAGAAAAATACCTATGTTATAACATATGTGTTACAAAAATGTCCTATGCTGTATTTTATTTTTAAGTAATATACACCCTCACAATAATCAGAACAAAGCCATCTGTCCTCTTCCTGTTTGCTGTATTGGGGGTGTCTTTGCTAGCTACCATTTCTTTTTGCCTGATGATGGTGGTCAGAGTCAGTCCTCAGGTTGTTGCAGCGTGTGACACGGTGCTGTTAAAATACAGCTGGTAGTTGATTTTGTCAGAGCCTCGAGTTATTCTTCTTGTACTACTTACCTTCTACTCAAATTACATGCTTCCCTGCCAGAATCTGACACTTGGATTTCTTTTCCTCCTTTCATGCCCTACAAGGTCAGAATCCATTTCCCTGTCTCTTGACACCGATGGTCTGAGACCAGTTGCAGAGCTGGGTAGTTGCACTGACGCTGAAAAGTGTATTCTAGTTGAGAGAGAAATTCGGTAGCACTTATATCACAATAGGACTAATGAGTAACTAACTCAAATATTGAAGGGGTAACATTTTTTCCAATTGTTTTTCAATTCTCCAGGTGGTTGCTTATCACTACTGTCAAGCTGACAACACATACACGTGTCTGGTCCCGGAGTTCGTGCACAGTGTCGCGGCGTTGCTGTGCCGCTCGCCTGCGCTGGCCGCCTACAGAGACCTCCTGGTGAAGGAGCCTCACCTACAGAGCATGCTCAGCCTGAGATCTTGTGTGCAGGATCCTGCTGCAGCTTTTAAAAGGGGTGTGTTGGAACCACTTTCAAATCTCAGGAAAGGTAGGTTAAGCAGGAAGTGATTTGTAAACTGGATCTAAACTTCGTAAAAAGAAAAAATCTAAGAATATGTATTTTAATGCTCTAAAAAGAAATCAAGCACAACACTCCTGCAGAGAGGGATTCCTTAATTGTGGTGGTTGTTTGAAACAATAATAGGTAGGTTTTGGACAGTTGTTGTATGTTTTAAAATTAAATTATATGAAGCTTATTAAAGATGGAAACGTTATATTTATTTGTTTGCCAGAAACCTCAGAGGTAACTTTGTACCTTGAAGTTAGAGCTGGTACATTTGCATCTAAGGGTTTTATTTTCAGATTATTTTGAGTTTTGTTACACTTTTTTGTTTTGTAATTTTCTGTGCCTAAACACCTGCAAAGCAGAGGATTTTTTTGCTTGCTTTTAAAACTGATATGGCAGTTTTCAAGGAAAAGCATGTAACAACATGATTTTCATATTAAAAAAAAACCCTAGCAAGCTCCTCCTTGCAAAGAGATACTCAGAGTGCATGCCAGTCTGAGCAGGTACTTGATACATGGCAAGATGGGGGAGAAGATGCCCTGTGTGTGAACAGAATGTGTGCCATTCTTGTGGAAAAAGGTCTTGGATTTTGTTGACAGGCAGTCAGATGCTTGTGAAAGCCATCGACAGGTCTTATGTTTCCCTGGGGTTTCCATCCTTAGCAAGTGCTCAAAACAAGCATTGCTAGCTTCTCAGGCTGTTGGCAGAGTAACCTTTTCTCCCCAGAACTGAAAGTGTAAACCAACTGTTTATGATTTTTGCAAATGGTAAACTGATTTTTTTTCTGTTTGGTAAGTCCAATAAAGGGTAAGTTTTAAGGAAATAGCTAATAATTAAAAGCAGTGTTATCTAATTTCTTAACAACCACATATGCCTTCTTCCTGTGTCTGTGCATGTCTTGAGGTAACAGCTATGTTTAATCTCTTAACTATTTAAATCAGTAGTGAAATAGATCCATAATAATAGTGCAGTAAAAAACACTATGGTAAGTGATTGCTTCCAGTTTTTGTCATTTTATGGCAATATTGGTTTATGTCTTCTAGTGTTATTTTTAATCTCCTAAATAATGCTTAAATGCCATAAGGTGTATTATTATACATAAAGATACCTTTTTTTCTTGATGTTCAAAATTTGGGGATAAAAATTTATCACTTAATAGGAGAATTTGTATTCATCCTTTCCTTTTTATTTTCATATTTCAGAGCAGAAGATTCCTGAGGAGGACTACATAATTTTGATAGATGGTTTAAATGATGCTGAATTTCATAAACCTGATTATGGTGACACGATTTCTTCATTTATCACAAGCATAATCTGTAAGTTTCCTCCCTGGCTGAAGCTCATTGTGACTATAAGAACTAACCTCCAGGTAAAAACACCTTCTAAATTCTTTTTTTATCCTCAAAGACTGTACTTTTCTGGTTCATTGTTACTGGAAGATGTAAGGATAAGGAGATTCTTTTCTCTCTTGTAGTTTGTGATATTTATTACATGTGGCTTAATATAGATAATTTCTGCTACCTCCCCCACTTCCCCTGGCCCATCCTAAGGTCCAGTTCTGGTTACTGTTTTCTGTTCCTGTGGTTTTGAAGTGATAATTTCTGTAGCTCATTCTCTTCAGTTGCCTTGCTGAGCTTGGTCAGTAAAATATTTGAGACATTCCTATGAAAACCGATGGCAGGGGACAGCATTTGCAAAGCCATCACAGAGATACTGAATGTCTTTTTAATTTGTCTGATACTCATTACAGAAGAAAAATATAGCAAAGATACTGAGTTTTCAGTGCTGGAATACTGTAATGCCAATGTGTTTTTTCTTTGTTTTTTTCCCTCTTCTTCCCACAGGAAGTAGTACGTTCACTGCCCTTTTTTGCAATATCCCTGGACCATTTTCCAGACAACAAAGACATTCATGATGACTTGAATGCTTATATCCAGTACAGAATAAATGACAGCCAGGAAATTATAAACAACATATCTCTAAATGGAAAAGCTGATGCAGCTATTATTGGGAAAGTGAGTAACCACCTGATCATGAGAAGCCTGGGATCTTACCTCTATTTGAAACTCACTCTGGATCTTTTCCAAAAAGGTCACTTAGTAATCAAAAGTGCAAGCTACAAGGTTGTTCCAGTGTCCCTGTCAGAACTGTACTTACTTCAGTGCAATATGAAGTTCATGACAAACTCTGCTTTCGAGAGAGCCCTGCCTATATTAAATGTGGCACTGGCATCCCTACATCCCATGACAGATGACCAGATTTTCCAAGCTATTAATGCAGGCCAAATAAATGGTGAACAACAATGGGAAGACTTCAGCCAAAGGATGGAAGCCCTTTCATGTTTTCTGATAAAAAGACGTGACAAAACACGGATGTTCTGCCACCCCTCCTTCAGGGAATGGCTTGTTTGGAGAGCAGAGGGTGAGAATACTGACTTCTTATGTGAGCCAAGGTGAGTGGAACCTGGAGTAAATCATGTTCAAATAACAGCAATTATGGTTTATGTAATTGGTTGCAGTCATTGGTGAGAGGAAACAGTAATGTTAAGACACAAGCATGCCTGATTTTTTCCAAAATGAAAACTTCAGTACGTTTAGAGATAAACTTGAACAGAGGTACCAGAGGTTACAATGTGTAATTGACTTCATAGAATTTGCAGATTTGTATTTGACTTTGCTGCCTTCATGGGGAAATGAGAGTGCTGTGTTGCTAAATACACATTTTATTCCAAGTTTCAAAAGGATTCAGATCTATTTCCAAAAAGATGGGGTTTTATCTGAGTTTCTGACTCAGAGTTTTATCCGAGTTTTATCTGCAGTTTCTGATTGAGGGATGAAATAACAAGAGGAGCAGTTTGCAAGCTGGTGCCCAAAGCTGCCTTGGCTGTGCCATGGGCCTCTCGTGGGGTGACAGTTGAGAAGCATTAAGAGTGTGTTTCAGCTTGGAAATGTGCCTTTTTCCTCTTGGCATTGTTTTGTTATGCAAATAATCTTGTTTAGATGAAATGGAATGTTTCAGCAGTCTGACAAGCTATTGTGACAGGCGTGCAGGTGTGTCAGGACATTTACTGAAAGGACAGGTATAAAGGCACTTCTCAATCATTTCTACTAGGAATGGACATGCTCTACTGGCTTTCATGTTTTCTCGACAAGAGGGAAAGTTAAACCGCCAACAAACCATGGAACTTGGCCACCATATACTTAAAGCTCACATTTTTAAGGTAAAGCTTACAGCTTTGTAGGTTTTATGACCTATTTATAGGACTGCATCTTTGAGATTTTCCTCTGAGTTGCTTTAACAATTTGCTAGAAGCTTATGCAAAATATTCAGTAGTGCTAAGGAACAGATTTGTCACTTTGTGCTCATGAGACGTAAATATATCACAGTGTTGATGATCCTGAAGAGATTTCCTGTTGTTTCATTTCTGGTAGGGTCTCAGTAAAAGGACTGGAATTTCTTCCAGTCATCTTCAAGCCTTGTGGGTTGGTTACAGCACAGATGGACTGTCTGCAGCCCTGGCTTCTCTGAGAAACATCTACACACCCAATGTGAAGGTAAGGAGATAAGCATTCAGGTACAGCTAGTGCTTGACTGCTGCTGTAACTGTTGATAAATGTTGAAATTAATGTAACCCTTTAGAAGAAAGTAACTGGACTACTTTTTAGCAAGTCTTTGTGTACTTTTTAAAACTGTTGTTAAAGTCTAATTCAGTTTTCCATGGTAGTTTTGATGGAAAGAAGGGTTTCTCCCTGATTCTGATGAAGCCATGCTCTAGCATAGATCAGTGTGGATGCATTTTCATGGATCAGCAGTACCACCTGATTGACTGAGCAGACTTGTGACATGTTTTCTTGTATGGGGAAGTATCAAGGGAATTGCATGTACGTTCGCGCACACACACACACACAGATATTCTGACAATTTTTTGAGATTGCTTTTTATTAATCTGTTTGGTAGCAGATTCTTTTAAACTTTAATATTGCTATGTATGTGCTAAAGTCAATGTCTGCCAATAAAACCTGCATCAAAATTAGGGAGTAACATATGAGTACTTAAACCAGGATGTCAGAGTCTTAATGAAGTCAGACAAATCTGAGGAAAAAATTGTTTTGTTTAAATGAAATTCTAGGTGAGTCGGCTGCTGATCTTGGCAGGAGCAAATGTGAATTATAGGACTGAAGTACTAAATAATGCTCCAGTGCTGTGTGTGCAGTCACACCTTGGACATGAAGAAGTGGTCACTCTTCTCCTAGAATTTGGAGCTGCTGTTGATGGAACTTCAGAGAATGGGATGACAGCACTTAGTTATGCAGCTGCTGCAGGGCACATGAACATAGTTTCATTGCTGTGTAGAAGAGGTGCAAAGGTAAGGTGGTGCACACAGATCACATTTGCAGCCAGAAAATCATGTGAAGATCTAAAAAAGCAATTGTTGATTAAATAAGTGTATAATTAACACATGGGGCAATGGGGGAGTCCAGAACACTTACACAGACTTCCGTGAAGCATTTCCTGTGTGCTACTGATCACAGCCCTCTGGCCCATCCATGCAGACAGTTTTGGGTCCACATCACTGTTCTGTAACCTGTCCTTCATCAGCTGTGCCATCACAGCCTATGGCAGACAGTCTCAGAAGCCTCACTAAAGTTGAGGTAGACCTCATCCACAGCTCTCCCCCATCTACCAAGCCAGTCACCTCATTGCAGAAGGTTGTCAGGTTGGTTAAGTGTGACCTCCCCTTGATAAACCCATGCTGACTACTCTCCATCACCTTCTTGTACTTGCAGATGGTTTCCAGGATTAGTTTTCTATGGTCTTTCACTAGATTTCTCAGCTCTGACCATTTTTTCCCTATGCAGGCTGACTGCTTAGACAAGAAAGGCCAGTGTGCTTTAGTCCATAGTGCCCTGAGAGGCCATTGTGATATCCTTGAATACTTGCTCAACGCTGTTTGGGTGACTCCTTCCCAAGAACTAAATTCAATAAGTAAAAGCCAGGCACTGCAACAAGCCCTAACAGCAGCTTCCAGCATGGGACACTGTCAGGTAGGTTGAGAGTGCAAGTATTTCTAAATCTGTTTGAATTCATCAAGATTGTACAACAGTGCTTGCACCAATTTTTAAGAGGTATGGAAAGCAGAACTTTTAAAACTCTTGATATTTAAAGTAGTATGCATTCCTAGTACCTGTTTTCAATGCTCTAGTTAATTATCCAATAATGTTTGCTTTAGGATTTGTTTATTTTAATTTTCCATTTACTTTTTCCTCTTTGTTCTTGGAAATTGTTCTGAATCTGTAGTGGTAATGATGATACTCTGTATCAGTGATCCACCCTTGTATGTTTCTACTTTAGGCTGAATTTTTTTTCCTAGTGTAACGAATTGTATATTGCACATACAGAACTTTTCTAACCTGATGCACATGTCAGGTTGTACACTTCAGCTCACCTCAGCTCAGTGTCACTGCAGACAGAAACTGGGGGCTGTGTGCATGTCTGTTACAGAAGTGTTTGCCAGCATTACAGTATTATTTAGCAAAGGGAACACTAAAAGGAAACATTAGAAATACACAAAATGCTTTGGATGTTTAGGTAATACAAGTATGACTTCCTTTCATTGGGAAGACAAATCTTTACCTTGGTAGAAAACAAACTCGTAAGGAAAGCTACCTGAGTGAAGATCACACCAGGCTGATGGATTTTCTGGTGTGTGTATTGTAAGTGATGTGCCAAAAGTAGAAACTTAAGATCTCTTCAGTAAAACCATTTCAAAATATCTAAAATATCTTCTAAATCTATTCTAAGTTGCTATAAGGTCAAGATTCTGATATTTAATCATATATATTTACTCTTACCTGAAAGTGTCCATCTTCTGCTATTTCTAGGGTAACAAGAACCTGAATTCTTCTTAGCTAGAAAAAAAGACCTTTGCGATTCATAAATTTTAGATAAATTGTATTCTCACATTTCAAATTTTAGGATTTTCCATGCCTTGTATACAACACTTCTCACACAGCCTGAAAATACCCAGATACTTCCTCCTTTCCTACCTTTGCTTTTTCCTGTAGCCTCCAAAACCTTCTGTTAGTGTCATTCTACTCCCTTACCTGCTGGCCGCTATTTCAGTGACCCTTCCCTCCATTTAGAAAATCTGCTTAAAATACCTATTAGAAGAAGTTTTAATTTAATAATCTTTTTCCTAGCAGGTGGTCACAAAACCCAGATTTCCCTAATACAATATAAAAAAATCAACAAAACTTAATTTATAACTCACCTCAAGTTGAAAAATTAGCATTCAACAATGTGTGCTTAAACCATTCTGTGAAGAAATGTAGAAACACAGCTAAGATATAAAGAATGTAAAAGCAAAACCATGAATTGCCACTGTACATGATGAATGCAAATATTCTCTTTTTTTACCTTTGTTCTAGAGAATATGGAATTTCCTTGCTGAACTGAGATGCTTTATTTTTATTTTTGCCATTGTTTGTCTTGATTATTCTGGGATATGTAGGTCACATAGGAGCTCATTAAATCATAATCATGTAAAACACCCTGAACCAATTAAGAGAAGGGCACTGGGCTTTTTTTTAAACTGCTTTCAATAACATTCAGTCATCACCAAGTCATACTAAAAATCATGCTGAACTTGCCTTGATGGATTATAACGAATATTAGCATCTTGTGATATGCATGCATGAAGAGGGAAGCACTCTCACTTGTTTTAAGTCTTTCATCTGCTGCTGTGTCTGGCAAGTGACAATTGGTGGGTTTGGTGACTCACTGCATCTCCACTGACTGTTTTTGACAGGTGGTTGGTTACATCTTGACAACTGAAAAGGACAATGAAATAGACATCAATGACACTGATGCATTGTGGGGAGAAACAGGTATTTCTTTTCTCCTAATTTTTGCCTAATTAGAGTTGCTCTTTTAAACAGTAAGAGTTCTTAAATTTGATTTTTAACAAATAATTATATGTGATGAAAGTACTGAAAAGTGCTAGTTTTAATAACAAAAGGGAGTTTTTAAGTACAGTGTTTTTAACTTTCTAAATCTACTCATGTATTGAAGAGTAATTTTATATTAAACTTACTGTAAATTGCTGACTTTCTAATTAAGTAAAAAATTGCCTGTGGAAATACAGTGATGTACAATCGTGTGGGATTATCTGTTTGAGAACCTTTGTTTTGATCCCATTTGTTTGCAGGAAGTGGTAGGCAGTTGCCTCATTTGTTCTAATTAGACAGTGGATGAAAAGAGGTGCCTTTGTATGTATGGGAAATGCCAAATATATTATTAAAGACAGAATGTACTCTGGGCAGCCTACAGCTGGGAGCTTTCCTGTTTTACCACGAGCAGCATCTCCCTTTCCTTTAAACGGCTGAGGTTGCACAGGAAGGTGGGAAAACAGTCTCTTCACAGTTGTCAGCAGCCTCTGCACCTTTTGGAGAAGCAAACATTCCTTAATCCTACACATACACAAAATCCTTGGTGCAAGTCCAAGTAATTCCAAAAATCATACATCTGTTTCTAAATTGGCTTTCCTTTAATATTTTCTAGTCAACATGTTGTGTATGAAAATCATTACTATTTGGAATCTTTACTCATTAAGTTAGCAAGTGCTGCCTTGTGCAGCCCCAGCTTGTGATGGGCTGATGGTCTGAGCCCAGGGGGCTCCCAGCCCTGTGGCCCTTCTGAGCTCTCTGAAGTACAAAGCAGGATGTCTGGGACAAGAAGAATGTAGAGTGAGTCAGGACCGCTACAGGTTTAGCATCACAGGAAATACTGCTCTTCAATTATTGAATGGAAAAAAAATATATAGGAAGGATGCTCATGTATAGGCTGCTGGCATCTTCAGTTTTGTGTGAGTGGGTGAGCTCAGGTTTTGTGGCTGGTAAATGGGATCACGCTACGGAACTGGGCAGCGATGGATAGAACAGGAGGGTGAAGCAGTGTGCTTTATGAGTGCCTGCTTGGGAAAGGGAAGATCCCTCACACTCTGGAGCAGCACAGAACAACCCTAAAACTCCTTCCTTTTCACACAGCAAGGTGTTCAGGACCAGCCTCTTTCTGTTCCTGTATTTGTACTGCAGATACCTGCTGGAATTTGGCCCTGCTCACTGTGGAGGCTGTTTCCTTGGCATTTAGTGTTGTGAGTCTTCTAGAGGGACAGAGAGCTGGAGGTGGTTGTTGCCATTCCTAGTGTTTTCTCACACCAGTGTAGCTGAGGGCCATGTGTGTGTGAAGTGCAGGCTCCAGGCAAGTTAAGTAGCAGTTTAAAGAGGAGTGGATAAAAAAGTCCTGTAACAACTGAAGTGAGAGGTTGTAAGGGCATGACTTGCTGCCTCATGAAAGGGATGGAAAACAGCGTAATTTTGGCTGCTCCTGACCTTCACAGGCAGCTCAGAGGTGATCTGATCATTTCCAGCAGAGTCGTTGGAATTCCTGAGCAGGCTTTAGTTCTGATGTTGTTGAAGCTGACTGGAGAAATTGTTGACTCTTAGACCTGGATGAGGTGTGTGGATTTACATTGTTGCTGTAATGTCAGTTACACCCTGAGTTGAAATGCTGGTTCTGACAGAATAAAAAATGTCACGCTTTTTAACAAGGTAGTTTGTTGTTATAGCAGTTACTTTCTAGCTGCTGAGGTCTAAATAGTTGATGTAGCTGTAACATAGTGAAGTATCAGTGGGTGAAGAGTGAGTGGGTTAGACGTTGTTAAAGAAGGAAGGTACTGCTTCCTGGAGTGTGTAATTCCACTTGCTTCAGTATTCAGTATCCACTGGAAATTTTACTAATTCTACCCTATCATACATGAAAAGACTAAAAGATTATGAACAAGAAATTCACAATTTGACCCACTTCTGATTGGAAAACACACAGTGATGTGCTTTGGAGTACTGAGGGGCGTGTCCTCGGCTGGTCCTGCGGCAGCTTGGGAGGCCATTTTCTGAATAGTGTGACCACGCTTCAACACAGCAAAAAAACCCATTTTAATTTCAAGCTCCATTTAAAACACACAATAAGTTGATGCAAGCAAAATGGAAGAGGGGAAGAAATCATGATGGGGAAAATATTTTATTATCAAGCTTCAGTGATTGTCACAGTGCAAAGGCAGGGGTATATTCAGCTGTAGGAGAAGGGGTGCTGGTGACGTGTGCTGCCTGACGGCAGCGCCGCAGTGTCACAGCAGGGAGAGCTGTCACAAATCACAGTGCCTGGTGTCTGGGGGTGACTTCGCTTTCCCAGGAGCCCTGCCTGTGACCACAGAGGTGCAGTGAATGCCCAAGGTAGTGATGGTGTCAGGGGTGTGTCAGGGTGCCCTTTGGACGTACAGCTGGGCTGTGTCACAACCAGTTGTGTCGGTGTGCACAGTTGCCACACGGGGCTGTTCCAGCTGGGGCTGGTCTCCTGGTGGGAGGATCTCTCTGTTGAAGAGCTGCCAGGTTACTGTGTTTTTAGATAGAGGGCAAGAGCACTTTCTCTTGGCAATGTACACTGCTCAGCTCAAAAAAGATTTTTAAGGTGTAGTGTTGATGTCTCCTGTGTGCTGGAGAGTGAACAGTAATCCCTGGAGGTCTAGAGCAAGGGTTGGCACAACAGTTGGAGCTGCTGGCTGGTGACTTACTGTGTTTTTCACCCTGAAAAACAGGGAAAGCAATTTTAACTGGTGCAGAATTGAAGCTAAATTGTCCAAGCTAGAGAGTTTGTGCAGAGACCTAAATATCTTGGTAATACATCACTGCTAGGGATGGAATAAACAGTTCTCCCTGGAACGTGGGTCAAAGCCCCTCTGTTGAACCCCAGAGCTGTTACTGTTTTCACCCGTGGGAAGGGTGAAGCTCTCTTGTCTTGAGAGGCATGATTAAGGAGAAAGGAACCAGCAGTGCCTCAGGCTGGTGGGCTTATTAAAAATGTTCATGAAGATTCCTTTTAACCTACAAGCTGTGCCCATGAGACAGTTGTTATCTTTGAGAATCATCTTTTTTTTTTAAAAAAAAAAAGAGAACATCTGTGGCATTTTGACTTAACCTGCTCCCGATTAATTCATCTGAGTCTGAAAACAGTTATTGAAAATCTTAGGGAGCAGCTGTAAAAAACGGGGGGTTCAGTAACACATCATGGGCATGGGTCAAAAGAGGAGGTGAAGGAGCTCAGAATGTTGATGACAGTGCTTTCTCTAGCCCTGACAGCTGCTGCAGGAAGAGGGAAGCTGGAAGTTTGCGAGCTGCTTCTAGCGCGTGGAGCCGCCGTGAGGAGAGTCAACAGGAGGGGGGTTCCTCCGCTGCTCTGTGCCGTCCGGCAGGGCCACTGGCAGGTCTGGCACCTCCAGCTTCATGGATTCCTTTGGGAAGTGGGCGCTGATTCCTTCCATCTCTAGTCCTGTAGGAAACAGGTGTAAAGTTTCTAATACACATCAGCATCTACTTCGAAGGGGTGTGTTCAGAAGCTTTGAAAGTTATTTGAGATGCAAAGGATCTGAAAGGACATGGGCTGCATGGCAACCTTACTTATAATAGCCCTGAAAAAATAATACATTAAAATATTTTATTTACTTACTAGACCAAGAGCTAAGGCAATTTCAGATCCTCTGTACTGCTTCTGCAGTAATGGAGAACCTGTAGACTCTGGAGCCCTCCTCATTCTGGTCACCCCTGTCAGAAGAAAGCCCTTGAGCTGCAAACAGCTAAGACTGAGAAGTCCTGCACAACTCAAACAGTTGCTATAAATAATATCTATATGCTATAAATAATATAATAGATCTCTTTTTTAAAAGTTCGTGCTATTACAGCTAAAATTTGCATCTGCCATTTTTTTTTTAAACTGCTACTTTCAATTCCAGATTGCTAAACTCCTAGTGGAGCACGGGTCTGATGTGAATTTGAGCGACAGGCAAGGCCGAACTCCACTTATGGTGGCTTCTTGTGAAGGACATTTGAGCACTGTGGAATTTCTGCTTTCTGAAGGTAGAAAATAAATGGTGGTTTAAGGCTGCACAGCTGTACCAAGCCTGCATCTGCCAGGGCTTGGTGATTTTGCTTATTAAACAGGACATCTTAATAAAAACGTTAATTTTCATTTTACAGGTGCAAATATTTCATCTCTGGACAAAGAAGGACTGACAGCTTTGAGCTGGGCATGTCTGAAAGGCCACAGGGAAGTGGTTCAGTACCTGGTTGAGAAAGGTGCAACGACTGACCAGACAGACAAGAATGGGCGAACACCCCTAGACCTGGCAGCTTTTTATGGAGATGCTGATATTGTAAGTGGAAGTGACAGGAGAGACACTGGGCATGTATTGAATGTTCATAATGCAAAGCAAAGCTTAGAAAAAATAGTGCCAACTAAAACAGAAATTAAATTTGTCCACAGACAAAGGTGGAATAATTCTGAGATCACTCAGCAGGCCATCAGCTTTGGGCCTTGGAGGTCTGTGAGTGGGAAGGACTGTTCATACCTGTTTCCATACTGGGCTACTGCCAGTTGGATTTGGGTGAGCAGTGGTCCTGGGGAAGAACTGGCTTACATCAGACCTGTCAGCACTGCCCTTTCCTAAGTATTGCACTTGTAGTTAGTGTTGCTGAGGGACAGTAACTGCCTGTGTTGTGCCTGTTGTCTTTGTGCAGCAGGAGGATCAGGTCCTGGAGCTGCCCTGCAGTGTCTGGGGGTCCCTGTGCCCAAACCACGGGGCTGGTGCTGCTCCCCTCTCAGCTAGGGCTGCAGTTCTGCTCACTGGCCTCCTCACAGGCAGAGGAGCAAACAAGCAGAACCCGTGGTCTTAGTGTTTTCCTGACAAAGGTACCTCCAGGAATTTGGGTGTTGGTTTTCCTAATTCCTGCAGATCTTTGGAGCAGTCTGACAGGGTTACTGTGCTGTGTTGTCTTCAAGGAGTTGTGCTCCATGGGTTTAACAGGGCTTTAGCATACTCTGGAGTGCAAGGAAGATTAGGTGGTAGCTTAAATTGTGGTGCCTCTCCTACCACAACTGAGGTTACAGGGCTGGTTGTTCCTCGTGCCAGGTGCAGTACTTGGTGGAGAAAGGAGCAATGATTGAGCACATGGACCTGAGCGGGATGCGGCCCCTGGACAGAGCCATCGGCTGCCGGAACGCGGCCGTGGTGGTGACGCTGCTGCGCCAGGGAGCCAAGCTGGGTGAGTCAGCCTGCCCCAGGAAAACTGAGTATCTGCTCTGCTAGAGTGCCTGTTGCTTCTCATACAGCTTGGAATGCACACCAGATTTCTGTAGGATGTATGGTTTGCAGATGCAGAAATCAGTTGCTTTCTTTTAAAGGCAGACAGTCAAGACTAACTTCAAAGTGAGGAAATGCAAGTAATTTTATTCTGTTCCTTTGATATACATTGATGAAGAGGTCTGGAGAAGTCACTCTTCATATGGTTACTCTATTGATAAACAACAAAGTTATGGTTACACTATTAGTGACACAATCATGACAATGAATTATGTAGATCGAGAAGTTTTCCATTTAAATAACATTATTAGAATAAATTACAGAATCGTACCTTTTTGCAAAGGGTGAGCAAATCATATATTATCATAGAATCATTCAATGGTTTGGGTTAGTATGGACCTTAAAGATCATCTAGATGAAACCCCTTCCATGGGCAGGGACACCTCCCACAGACCAGGTTGCTCCAAGCCCCATCCAACCTGCCCTTCAACGCTTCCAGGGATGGGGCAGCCACAGCTTCTCTGGGCAACCTGGGCCAGGGTCTCACCACCCTCACAGCAAATAATTTCTTCCTAATGTCCAATCTAAATCTCCCTTCTTCCAGTTTAAAGACATCCCCCCCACCCTTGTACCATCAGTCCCTGCCCTTGTCCCAAGCCCCTCTCCAGCTTTCCTGGAGCCCTTTCAGGCACTGGAAGGTGCTCTAAGGTCTCCCTGGAGCCTTTTCTTCTCCAGGCTGAACACCCCAACTCTCCTAGCCGGTCTGCAGAGCAGAGCTGCTCCAGCCCCTGATCATCTTGGTGGCCTCCTCTGGACTCCAAGAGCATGGCAAATTCATGGTGATGATGAGTACATGATAATTATTGAATCTGTAGTACCTTTAAATTATCATTTATTATTATTTGGGTACTAATGATAAAATGCAGATGCTTACTCAGGCCTGAGCTTTGCCATCACTGTCATACTGTCCTGTATTGGCTTTGCACCTGGGGCGAAATGAATTGGACCATTTAATATCCATTTGCTGTCTGTGTGGGGCAGCAGGGCCAGGTGTGGATATATATGTATTGTAAATATATGTGCAGATAACAGCAGTAGTTCCACACAAGTGGAATTTCTGCTGAAGTAGGATCAGGCTTTTTGGTGTGGATAGATACCAGAAACACACTTTCTTCCCTTTTGTCAGAGATCCTTAAAATTTAACTTGCAGGAAATGCGGCATGGGCGATGGCTACCTCAAAACCAGATATTCTCCTTATTCTACTGCAGAAACTGATGGAAGAAGGAAATATACTGTACAAAGTAGGTAGTTGTTTATTTTTTCTGATAGCAGAACATTATAGTGGCACTTCTGTCTGAAGGCAGACAAAAGTTCTTTATACCTTGCTTTCTGTTCAGACAAGATGTGTACTTGCACGTCTGTGTGGGGAATGAGACCAAGAAATCTTGAGAATCCAGGGAAAGAATAATTGAAAGCTCCCATGTAGAATACATACATTAAAAAAAAACAACCCAAAGATGGATAAGTACACTTTCTGCCTCTTTAGCAAGTTGCTCTGTGAAGATCTGTAGCAGCCATTTGTTTCTTAAAAGCAATTCCAAATGTAAGGTGCGTGTTGGAAAATGCCATGTTGAACTAAGGGGCATTTAGGCATATCCTTTTCTTCAGGGTCATGTTCTTTTGTGTGCTTTTTAAATATGTGATGAGGAAGGTGGCAGCTCTTTTGATCCATTGCTTTTACTAGTGGTGTTACATTGCTCAGATAGACTGGAATGCTATCTGTAACTGTGGGATTCACCTGCACTTCACTAGTGCAGCACAATGCTGGGTGCCTTGTACAGGCACTTGCTGAGTCTGTTTGAGCTACAAAGCTGGTAATTTGTGGGGATTTTTTATAAGGGCCCAAAAGTATCTGCCACCTTGTCTCTTGTACTTGTTTTGTATCAACTGGCTTTGCATAACGGAGACCCTTGAGACTTTGCTGTCACGAATCAAGATGGACCTGCTTGGATTCTCCCCATATTCTGTATAGGAGTCTTATGAATACACCTGGATAATTTATCAAGTTCATTGATCCTGAAATGGCTTTAGGGCTTTATATCAAACCTTTAGGCAGGGGACATCTTTCAGCCTAGAGGAAAACAGATTTTATGGTGCAGAGGCAGTTCTGTCACCTCTGGAAAGCCTCTTTCTGTCACACATCCCCAGCAGTGTGTTGAAGGTTGCACAGGGAGAAGGTGCTACCAAATCATGTTCTTCAGTTCCTCTTCCACCTGCTGCACAGGTTGGACCCTGCCTGGATGCTGAGATCACTGAGTAACAGGGCAGGACTGGGTAGTGGCATGTGTTAGAGTTTGTGACAAGAGATTGAACTCCCTGCTGGTACCTGGTTGTGAAGTGCTTAATTTTATAGTGATGGAGAGGACTTGCTGCAGCTGAGTCATTGTCATTGAACTTAGTTGTCTTCCAATGTACTTTATTTGCCCAAATGTTTTAAATAGATCCTTTGCAGAGTAACAGTGTTGGAGTGTGCTCAGTCTGCAGTAACTACCTGCCAGGTCTCCAGCAGAATGAAATAAGATAAAATATTTTCCTTGCCAGATTTAACAGTAAATTTGAGTGTTAAGGTGAATTAAATAATAATAATAACACCCAATATTTATGAAAAGAAATTAATTTGTAAATATCTGTAAAGAAAAAAAATACTTTACCTGTCAACTAAAAGATTTGCTTTTCTTATCTCTCTCCCATTGAGCCCCCTCATGGACACTTTCCTGATGAAGGGTGTGCTCCCTGGGAAGCATCTAGGCCTTAGACTTTCATTCAGCTACATCCTCAGATATTTGACTGCTTTGTTTAAAAAGTGAACAAATACATAAATAATCATACATGGGTTTTCTGGTACAAGTATGTATGAATGCAAATGTTATCCTGGTGAAATACCACTAAAGGTTTGAATTTAGAGACAAACACAAACTCCAGTTAAAGTGCAGGTTCTCTCATTCTGTCAACTTGTATGTAGTAATTTTTTAAAAATCTGGCTCTGTGGTTTTTACTTGCACACCTGCTGGTAGATGTCAAATATAAGTGTGCTTTTCTGCAGCAGTATTGCAATATTAAGAGTTTGTTCCCTAATTCTGTAGAAAGGCAAGATGAAGGAAGCAGCCCAGCGCTATCAATATGCCTTGAGGAAGTTTCCCAGGGAAGGCTTTGGGGAAGAAATGAAAGCTTTCAATGAGCTGAGAGTTTCATTGTACCTGAATTTATCACGATGCCGCCGAAAAACAAATGTAAGCCCTTGCTGTTCATCTGTTGCCTCTCTGGCACTGAGACTCCTACACTTTAGTCTGCTGCATGTTTCAGTTTGTACTTGGATGTTTATTTTTGCTATTTGAGAGTTCTTATCACTGTGTCCTGATTTTGGGCTTCATTGTGCCAGCAGATGGGGACTTCACAAGATGAGTGCCTGTTGCTGGGGAGGGAGGGTGTTTCTATTACAGCTGTCCTTATGTGATCCAGTTATTTTGGAATGAAGAGCTGCTGGATAGTTTTGGTACTCTTAAAAGACTAAATGGAAAATGCCACCACAACCCCCCCCCTTTTGTTACCACACAGCAAAATCTCCAGCTGTGTTGTGTGTTCTGGTTGGTTCTCAGTACCTTCAAAACTGCATCAGATGGCTGGGGAGAGCCTGAATGACTCGCAGAGCAAAAACTTCTCATTTTCTGCATATACCTTACACTGCTCCTTATTTTCAAATGGTAACTTCTTGATTCCCCAGTCATTCCAGTTGTTTGTGGCATCTGTTCCAATTGGAAGTTTCTAGACGTGCCTGGGACACATATTATGTCTAGTGCAGTTCTCTAAAAATTTCATGTACCTTATTGAAGAAAGCTCTAGACTAGTCCAACCTATCTCCTGATTTTTCTTGTTTCTCTAAAAATTCCTCAGTCTTTAACTGGCATTTTTTTCCAAAACGCATTCTGAAGCTTTGCTGTCTGAGGTGGTCATTTACTCTGTTAAACGTGTGGTCTTTTCTAGCATTTCAACATCTCTGGGTTGAAAAATAACCATATATTTATTATCATTGCTCTTTAGCTACATTGGAGTCAGTTTCCCTCAGCAGGTACCAGGCCAGATGAGGTCTGTGCTCAGTCTTTCAGAAAATACCTGCTCTTGCTGACTGATGCAGGTGACTTCCCATACTGCATCAGCTGTCTCTGCTTTGGAAGCAGTGCCATGAATTAAGAGCATCCAGCTGCTTCTACTGTCAGTGTGTAACCAGGGTGTATGTTTAAATTCCCAGGACTTTGGTATGGCTGAAGAGTTTGCTACCAAAGCACTGGATCTGAAACCCAAGTCTTATGAAGCCTATTATGCTCGAGCAAGAGCCAAGAGGAACAGCAGGTACTGGTTGATTCTGTGCATCTGTCTGCATGGGCTGGTTTAACTTCCTACACATCAGTAACTCTTTTCTGCCAATTGTATTTGGGATTTGTGAAGAAAAAATTATTTTCCTCGTGTATTTTCCATCTTTAATAGGTCTCTATATCAGCTAAAGGCAAGCAAACTCCAAAAGCAATATATAATACACATTTAGGTAATTATTAGGCAGTGCAGAAAGTAACAAATGGATGTGGAGAGGGCTTATTTTTAAGTATGAGTGCATGGGACTGCTCTTCCTCGTGACTCAGCAGGATATTGTCAATTGTGCCACCAACCTCCAGTACAGCATTGTTTATCAGCACGAATAATAACTGGATGCTTTTAGGACATGGTATGTTAAAAATCATTAGCACTTCCAGATAAATACAAGGGGAGAGAGGAGGAACCATTTCTTTAAGCTGATAAAAATACAAAACTACAGTGGCATAGTTGAAGTAGAGGGAGAAGTGCCTTTTTGGTTTACCATGTCTTGGCCAAGCAGAACAGCACATGGTCATGAGGCAGAGGTCAGCAGGGCGGCTGCTCTGAAGATGACAGGAAAGGGCTTAGAGACAAAGCCTTGGTTGTGCTGCTGCCCACAGACTTCTCTTGCCTTCCTGCAAAACCTGTTAGATACAAGGGGAAGGGTTCAGGGTTGGGTCTGTGCTTTCACAGCAGGAAGGAATTCCCTGGGTTGGAGAAGATCAGGTTTTTATAGTGTCACTCCCTGCAGCAGGACAGGACAAATCTGAATGGTTCTTTGGAAGTCGGGGAGGTGGATCAGTATTAGGCAATGCTGAGATTCAGATCTGCCTCCAGGTTAAGTTTACTTTTCTTTCCCCCCCACCCCCAATCAGAAAGCTGCTTGCTGCTCTTGCTGATTTACGTGAAGCCACACAGCTGTGTCCCAGCAATCAAGAGATAAAACGTCTCCTGGCTCGAGTAGAAGAGGAATGCAAACAGTTCCAGAAAACACAACAACAGAAGCATCCGTCTCCACAGCTACTGCAGCAAATTAACAACTCTGATAATGAGGAGGAGGTCATTACGCAAGGTGTGAATGAGAATTTTGTTCTTCAAGACAGGGTGGATGATCTGCCACAGCCCGATGAGTCCGTTTCCTCTCCACACAGACTGCAGCGTTCTGCAGCTGCTCCATCATACAGCAGGACCCTGCAGGAAGGTGTTCAGCAGAAAGCCAGGTCTGCGTCCCCTCAGAGCAGAACAGGCAGCAAATACCTGAGAGAGCCAGGCCTGGTCATGCAGCCAACAAAGCAGGCTCAGATTGTAAAAACTAATCAGCGCCTGAGCTCCAACCAGCCTGGCTCAAGAACAGGAAGCAGTCAGTGCAGTACAAAGACACAGTCATCTTTTCAGCATCTTCCCCACAGTCCCTTGCCTGTCAGGCACTCTAAAATGCAGCATTTGGATGGATCAACCACTTTGTCACCTGGAAACATTTCCACGGGTCCTGGTTCTGAACCATGCAATGAGTTCATGTCCAGCCCAAGTTTCCACTCACACAATGAGGACACCTCTGCTCACTCCTTTGCAAGCAAGGCCAAAGCTGCCGACAGGTTCCCAGCCCCTGCTCAGATGAGTTTCAGTGAAGCAAGGCAGCAAAGCCCTGGCACCAGTGGCTCCCCATCCAGCAGCATGATTCTTGCTGCCTCAGCCAGCAGCCTGCCATCAGCTAGTGGTTTTCCTGACAGCTTGAAGGGCCCAGGCCCAGACGTGCGACTCAAGGAGCCTGTTCCTCACCTTCAGGGCTCTGGAGCTGAGCACAGACCCCGCAACACCCCCTTCATGGGCATCATGGACAAGACTGCCAGGTTTCAGCAGCAGAACACTCACTCCAGCCGCACGTGGCACTCTCAGGCATCAGATGGATTGTCTACATCTGCTGCTTCTGGGGCCCTTCCAGCCCCAGATTTTGAGCAGTTCTCAGTCAAACACTACCCAACTAAAACTCCCTCTGCGAGTGCTGCCTCAGGAGACAGCAACCAGAACAGCATGCAGGGCAACGACCGCGAGGAGCCAAAGTGCCAAATACCCACCCACTGCCAAGACAGCAGAGCCCCTAAACAAGCCTCCCATTTATACCCAGATGCTGTCTCCAAGCAGCAGTCTAACATCAATAAGGAAGGCCAGCTAAGTCATGTCACAGCTACAAAACCAAAGCGATCATTCATTGAATCAAATGTATAAATATAATTTTGTATATTTACAGGGTTATAAAACTTGGCTCCTAACATCATAGGGTGTTGCTTCTATACAAATTACTGACTGGCTGGTCCCCTGTAAGTTTGAGTGAGCAGTCCGTGTTGGCCAGTACTTCATGGGATACAACCACTTTAAACTTCCATCACAGCACAGTTACAATAACTGGAACTGCAAATTTGCGTAGAATGAGTCTATTAGGATCAGCAATCCACCAAACCAGGACCTCAAGCAGAGATCCTTTCCACTATGTTTTACCATTAATACTTTCCTTATAGATAGGTATTTACTCTTGGCTTTTGGTTCTGTTACATCTTGCCACTCACATACTAATCGTGCCTCTCTAATGCTTAAGTGCTTACTTCTCAAAACAGTGTTAAGGAAGCTGCCTGCTTGGAACACTCAGACCTGTGTATGTATGCAGTTTTGTTTCGTTTTTTTAAAATCAAAGATAATATTTTATCACTTTTCTAGTGGGATCTAATTTGGGTTGCATGATGTACATTTAGGAAGTATAAATGATTTGTGTATGAGTAAACTATAAGCAGCCATGTTTTGACTTGTAAATATAACTATTTTTAGTAACTAGAGGAAATCAAGTAAAATAAACAGTGACATCTGCATGTGTATTGAAAGGCTTTGACCATATTGGTTATTGCACTGAAGAACACAATATTATGGCATATTAACAATAATCGCACTTTATATAGTTTATCTAATCACCTTTGGGTGCTATCTTAAAGCAAAATGATTTATTGTTTATTTGTGAAAAAGGTACAGTGGTGAAAAGTGTTTTTATGGAAAACTCAAGAAGCTGATGGAGTGAAGATGAAAGTTTGAGGAAACGTGTGTGTTTGGTTGCATGACAGGATGAATCTGTGAAGTGTTTTTTGGAGGAAATAAGATTTTATATTAGCAAGAATGTTCTGAAAGTGAGCAGATGTAGTGACATTCCCATGGTGCAGGTGGGCTGGGGGGGTAACCCTCACACCCTCACTTTCCCCACCCTGGTGCAGACGCTACTTCCCGCGCATTGTGAACAGCTGTACCCACCCCTACAGCTCCTCTTTAGCTTTAGCTTATTTATTGTTTACTGTTTCTTTGATATTTTGTACAAGTCCTATATTAGTCCTGTCCTGTAGTTCTATTTTTGCACAGCTACTGTATTTTTTCCATAAAAATAAAGATTATTAATATACCTCTGGGATGAGATGCAGTCACTGATGGTTACAGGAGAAACTCTCTTCCAGCTTTTCCAACTACATCTTCCAGAATGGAACAAAGACACATCATTGTTTTTTAAATCAGGAGAAGAAATACAGATTGCATACCTTGCTGTTTCTTTTCTGAAAGACTAACCTGGCAAAATCAAGACTCAAAACTCATAAATGTAGTGAAAATTTTTAGAAAACTGTGTTTGAAAACTTGTGAATCTGAATAGCTCATTTGTTAAACAGAGATACCAATAAGTAAAATTATCAACAACTGAAAAGATTTTCAGTGATTTTCTAGGAGCCTGCAACCATGAAGATTCTTCCTCTTAGCAAATATTTAAATGACAGCCACAGAGTAGAGCATTTGTTTCTGATACAGCTACATGAAGTTCGTTTGAATTGCACAGTAACAAACACCTGCAGAGCACGTGGTTCAGCTGCATTTCTGCTGTGTCTCCAGCCAGCGGCTGATGGCCATTTTTAGTGTCCTGTTTGGTGTCAGCATAAGGGAGGGGAGAGGAAGATTTGTCATGGGACTAGCTCGTCTTTTAGTGCTGATCCAGTTTTCCATTGCTTCCCGTTCATAGGAATAGCCATCTACAAAGAAACCATCACCAATAGTTTATGTTGCCAAAGCTTGTGCACTGTTGCACTGTACAGCTCTTCCCTCTTTAAAGCTAAAAGGGATTTAAGGGCATCAGTATTTTCAAACAGGAAAGCTATGTGGGCCATAAACACTTCATGATACACTCACACATATTTGCTTCAAACAATAAAACTTTATAGAGCAGTAAGAAGATTAATATTCTCCTGTATTCAGCAAGCTAACTTGTATGAGCTGCTTCAGAAGGCACTGCAGCTTAGTCAGTGACACATCACATCACTGGTGACTAGAAAGCAGCAGATTGAAAAAACTCTGCTGCTGTGGCTGGAGCCTCCCCCCCAAGGAGCCAGGAATGGCAGTAAGCAGGGGTGGGACAGCACGGGACACACCCTGTGGAGCTCGATATAAAAGGCTTCACTTGCAGACTGAGGTGCCAGCAATGGACATTTGCTAAATGAGCCCTTTGCCACCCAAGTGACTGATGAGGTCACTGGCCTCCTGATGATCATAAGCCCTCCAGGCCCCAGGATTAGCACTAAAAAACACTAGTTCTTCACAAAATGTTTTAACTATGAAACATCTTTTGCTCCTGGCAGCTGTATAAACTTTTTAAGAGCCATACACATGGTATGCTAAGAGCAGAAATGGGCCTGGGGTTTGGGACTTCTCCCCATCCATATGTGCACAGTATCAGTTTGCACTTAGTGCGCTAGCTCTGTAATTAGGGTCACAACTGCATCTGCAAAGGAGGGCCTGGTTGTTAAAAAAACAAATACACAGCTTCATCAGCAGAGCTGACACTGACTTGCTTGATACATTATTTTTTTCTGTATCAGATGTAATTTGGCAAATTAAACATTTACCACAGTTGTATTTTGTTGGAACACCTATTTCGACTGGATTATCTTTTGATAACTTAAAAGAGATGCCAATTTTTGTGTTCTCACATCTACCTTTAAAAAATTTATCTTAGTCAACAGCATTTAAAGACATACCTGCTGCAATGACAGGGTCCTTCATCAGCTCCCTTGTTATAGGACATAAGAACTCGTCAGGGATAGTAACAGGAACAGAGGTCATTTTCATCTTCAATTCTTCAATTTTCTGGAGGACTTTACTGCGCAGGCCTAGAGACTCTGACAGGAAGGGGACATCACAGACATGTAAGACAAACAGGTTAAGTTTTGCATTAATTAGCAGTTGTGTTACAGGAGACAGCTCCACAGCTCCATCTCCCTACCCCCCCACCTAACAGAGAAATCTGCAGCCAGCCCTGGCCACCACTAGGAACAGCTCAACTGCAGCAGGTCACTCCTGCAGGCCAGGAATAACTTCGTGGAGGAATGAAAACAAGCAGTAAAGGCAAGTGCAGCCTTGCTGCCAGAGTTGGCTCCTGTCAGAGCAGCAAGGTCACCTGCATCTCTGTCACCACACTGCTGCACAGTATTGGTGTTCTGTGGCCTGCAAAGGGATGACTGAAGAACCCCTGACCCTGTGCTTTTAAAAAAGATTAATGTCCTCCTGATATAAAATAAACCTACACACATCATTCCAGTTGTGCCAAGCTGCCTTGTTTCCTTTTAGACAGGCCAGCTCAGAGGCATTCAAGCTGATAAAATGAAGACCCATCAACAGCAACTTTCCTATCTTCAAACAAAGCATCAAACAACAAGGTGTGTTTGTGCCCTGCCTGCAAATTACACTGCACTGTTGTGTGTTCCAGTCTCATGGCAGTTATGGCTTAGACTTGCAGCACCTCAAAGCTCAGGCAAAGCTTGTGTAAGTAACCTGTATTGAAATGGAAATAACTTATTTTTACTGTTAAATTGTACAATAGCAGTCCTCTGCCCAGAAAAGTTGATCGCATTTATAATGAGATGCACTCATTCACACAAAAATCAATAAACCCATAAAACTTCAATTAGTCCCAACTCTCCATTCTTATAAAGAGATAAACCTCACTGTGGACAATGCCCTTAGCAAGATTATGCTAAACCTGAAAAAAAACTGGGTAAGACATGAAGCCCCCACAATACAGGCAGAGCTCTACATGTTGTTCCAGGTCTTGGTGACAAAGCTCCTTGCTCAGAGCAAGAGATTGTTCCCACGAGACCCCCCCACAGCACCATGCTGCTGCTGCTGCACAGGTTGCAGAAAATGTTCTCTTCTATCAGCTCTACAGAGCCAAGTAGGAGCATCTTGATGAGTTGCTCAACTCTGCATTTTTTTTTAAATGCTTGGCACACAATTAGATACCACAAAATAGCTCAAAAGCTGCTAAAAAATTTTGATTCATGGCAGGGATTTACATTTACAAATTATATTGAGATTAAGGTATGGGAACCTAGTATTTTTATAAATTCTCATCAAGATTGATTGTATTTTGTGAGACATATTTAATGAATACCTCCGCCAAAAGGATTGTTCATAATCTAGTTCAATACCTAATTCCAACTACTAGAGGTGCCAGGGGGAAGGGATGCAAAGTTATGTTCATTCCCACACACTGTACAGCATCAATCTATATTTCTCAATCACAGAACCCAAGACCTCACTGGTGTGAGGTTCAGGTTATACCTGAACATTGCAAGACATTAGTGCTTTGACTGTGCTACTCGAAGCACTGCATTAAAGGACTGACATCTAGAGCTTCAAATCCCCAGCAGAAAGCAGTGAAAGGAGCATCCTTTCTATTAAATACACATCAGAGCTGAAGAATCATCATGGTTGAAAAGGACCTCTGAGACCACAGTGTAGCCATCACATAAAACTAAAAAAACCCACAAAAACACATCCCAGGAAAAAATACCCACAAAAAAACCCCCACAACCTCGGCCACTAGAGCAGGCCCTGAAGTGCCACATCTACATGTTTCTTGAAAACCTTCAGGGATGGTAACTCCCATCACTCCCGTGGGCAGCTGTTCCAGGGCCTGACCACTCCTCCCGTGTAGAAATTCTTCCTAATATCCGATCTGAAACTCTCTTGCTGAACTTCAGGCCATTTCCTCTGGTTTCCTCTATGTTTATTAGCCACTCTGAAATAAGCGGCTAATAAAAACAACTGAAGGAAAAGCTCTTATTCTATTAATCATAAAGTAAAATGGTCTAAAAAACTCCCTTTGCAAAGACTGTAAAAAAACTTGGGAGTTCTTTGGCAAGATCTTATGAAACTGGTAAATGTTGCATTTTCAGAGCAAAGCAAACAGATTACTGAGGAAGGAAATGCTCATTCCAGTATTTTTGTAGTGAGACACTGCTAAAATTTAGTCAGACTGGAATTTGTGTAACTGAAAACCATGTACTTTTTAGGCAGATAATATTTTTCTAATTTGTAAATGCTTGAGCTATGACATATAGAGAGCAATTCTTCAAGTTAAATATATCAGGCCATGATTTATACTCTGTATGAATTATAGTTGTAGAATGACACGTAGAAGCAAAATCACAAGCATTTACCACTTCAGAACTGCTTGCTATGAATTATTTTACTTGGCAACTTTGAGTAGCATATTTAATTATTTTGTTTTTAAAACATCTTTCACATAAGCATTAAAGCAGAACTCAGTGCTTTACATTTTCCATATGCTGGTTCACATTTGTAGGGAAGGTTGTGTTTATTCAGACAGTGAGCGATTTCAGTTGGAGCTTTTTTAAAGATCCCTTGTAGCTCCCTGATACCTGTGAAAGTCTGACTCCTTATCCTGTTATGATGGGTGTTAAAGCGCCTACTGAAGAGAAAGCACAGCAAGAGACCAAAGTCTTGAGAACAGAGACTGAGCAATGAGCATTTTACCTGATGATGGGAAAGAACATACTGAGGCTACTTTAGCTCCTCAATCCTCACTGCATCCTGCACATGGAAGAGCCAGAACACAACAGCTTCCCAAAATCAGCTTGTGCTCTACATGTGCCCTGTCTAAAGCCACATCCATCCTTTACCTGCCTTGCAATGGGCTCTTACAGCACAATTTTTATACCCATATTTGAGTTCAAAGTTGTTCTTGACAGTGGCCTTACAAATCTATCAGGCAGCACACCCTCGCATTGAGTTTTGTGCCCATGGAGAAGGCCACACTCAGTGGGTCTCCTCACTGGTCACACTGCATTCAACTCTCTGGCCAGCAGTATTGGAGGGGATTCAGCTGGCAAATGCTACAACTGAGCTTTAGGCTACTCCAATGTTACAGGAAATGTGTGCAGAAACTGGTGAAGCCAAGTGTCTTTTGTGGATGACAATTCCTGTGGATTCCCAGCAGGGAATCCTGTTCATTTCTAGAGTTCAACAAAGCCAGCTGATACAGAGACCCTACCATCCAATACAGACTAAACCACACACAGAAAACAACAAAGAAGGGAACAGCCTTCCATGAAGAATACTAACTTTTAAAAATAAAATTGCACTTTTAAAAAGTATTCTTAACTCATACAAACTTCTCTTATACTCGATCTCACTTTGGCAAGCATTACAGCACCTGATATACACCTAAATCTAGCCATCAAAACTAACAGAGAACTTCTGCTCAGAAGTTTCCACTGTAGTTCACCGTCCTTCAATTTCTCATTTCAGAATTACCACCATGGAATCATGACTAGTATGGTACTTGCTTGTGATTCCTTCTAAAATGTAATCACAGTTTTGCAATGAATTGAGAGGACAACGTATTAACTAGGATACCTGATGAATTACAATGTGTCTGAGCCAGGCAAGCTTTGCTGGATCCTTACTAACTGTCAACATCAAATGCTTCATCTCCAAACTAAAACTAAAACATACCTTGTGTCATCCTATTATGATAACAGTACAATGAAGGATTTCACTGCTAAATTCAAAGTAGTTGACCACACAGTACTATAAACATGGCACTTTAGCAGACTGATCAGAAAAACTATAGACAACCCTGTTTACCAAAAGCAGGATCATTAAGTATCCACAAAATCTGAAATTCCTTTCCCACTGCTTAATGATACAAGATCTAAAAAGGAAAACAGAATCAAAAGCAGGAACAACCATTTAACATGGCATTGTTGGGGGAAGTGCATTTTATGTCTCTGGGTAGAAGTAAACACACATTGAAAAAAAGAGTATTGTGTATAAAATGACATCAGGGGGGTTTATCAGCCCTGGTAATGAAATAAAAATGCATTTCAGGTATAAAAAAAATAATCCATGAATGGAACTCCTAACTCACTTTCATTCCAACATTTCACAAATACTCTAAAGATTAAAATCTATTTGTATTTCTATACTCTTACCGATTTTTAATTCATCAGTCAGACTTTCTTTAGTAAGCTTGAGCAGTTCCTTGCCATCAATGTTGTTCTTTTTGAAAAGCCCAACAAAGTCTGCTAAGTCTTCTGCACAAAGCCAGGCTGAAACATCATCCTCTGACCAGTCCTCAACAGCCAATTTAGACTCATTTTCTACAGTATTTCCTTTGGAAAGGAAAGATAAAAGTTTAAAATACCCCAAACAACACTGCTCCATCCTTTCCCCCCCCTCCATAAAATAAACCAACGGTGCAAAAAACTCCAGTCCTGAGAACAATAGCAATAATGAATACTGATTTCCAGGTGCTGGCAGTACTACACATTCCCCACATCTCATAAAAGAAATGCTTATTAGACATGGCTTCAGTGGGTAGCAATAACTTGGGTTTGTCTTTTACCGATCAGTTTTCAAAGTTTAGAGGAATTTCATCTCTCACGTGTCTACAATTCTGTCAAATTTGAACTGAACTGACAGAAAAGCATCAGCAGACAGTGACATCAAGTCTCACCTCCTCAGCAAAGCAGACCAAAGTCCAGACTTACTCTGTGCTTTGAACAAAGATCTGTGCACCTTTGCTCCCCGTACTTGAGGTGCTGATGTATTTTCTAACATTAACTGCCCTGCTTTTTTTCACCTATGACAACTGGTAAGCAGTTATTTCTTGTTGACAAATACACTTGCAATTAGCATATTCTCTGTTTAACTCATTGCCGATGATACTTGTCCAAAAAGACTTTCAGCTGGGAATAATGCTGTCCAGAGTGTAAAAAATGGCAAATATCAGAAAAGAAGACTGATAAAACTAGAACACTTGTAGTATATCTTGTCTTCAAAAAAATAAAAGAGAGTGTTCCTGTAGGACATTGATAAGATCAATTCAGAGAAAGGATATATAACATGCACATCATTCTGAGGGTACAAACTAGCTGCATGTCAGAAAAGGTGAATTTTTTGCACCTTCAGAAGGTGTCAACAATATTGTGCTGTAAATTTACAGAACAGATTACAAATACTTCCCACACTAACCTGCACAGGGTTTCTTAAGGTCCAGCTGCCATATGTTCACAGTTTTATCCATTGAACCTGTGGCAAGTAAGGGCCTACATGGTGCAAAAGCACAAGTTGTAACATACCTACAAGTAAAAAATAAATGTGTGAAAATCCACAAGAGAAGGATTTATTTTATTTATCAACAGTGAAACAGAATAATCATACTGAATTCTTACCTGCTATGCTGAGACAAAGTGTGAAGGGTATTACCAGTACTCTGTAAAAGAATATTTGCAATTACAAAACTTAAAGAATAACAAGAGTGTTCAAATATTAGTATACTTAATAAAGCATAAGGAAAAAAATAAGGACTAATATTGTTTCTTGGAAGATGACAGAAGAAGTTACCTTCAAAGAAGCTATACAACCTTGCCAAACCTGATCAGCAGCAGAGTCAGAAATGGAAGTTGAATTTCCTGCTTGAAGCCCCTGTTCCATTCACTGGAACACTGATATCTCTCAACAACCAGCCAGCATGGAGTTTTCAGCACAGCAACGCCACAAATATCAACTGCATTTCTACATCCATATTGGCTGGTTGCTCATGTGGATAAGAACATTTCTCCTACCAGTCTAGGATTAGAAATGACCAAGTGAAGAGGTAACTGAAATAGAGGTAAATGAAATAGACTTCATGCTACACTCCAATTAGGCCATTCATCTCACCTGTGCTTCTCCCATTTAGCCACTAGATGCTACTAAAAACCAAACTGCTGAACTTCTGAACCGTTTTAACTTATAATTTGAAAGTTTTTCCTTCTTATGAAAGATACTGTTTCTTTGACAGGTACAGACAGATTGGGAAGCTGAAGAGCAAAGTTATTCTTAATCACGAACTGATGAGTCATCACTCCAGTTTTTTGAGCTGTCTGCCATGAGGGCTTAAAATTTGTTCATCCCCCTTCTTCAGCAAAATTATTTTTAATACTATAAAGTACAAAAAATAAATACCACATACAGGTGAACCATGAAGAATGTAGTAACAGCATTACACAAAATGCCGAAACAACACGTTTTAAAGAAAAGACATTATATTTAACATAAAAAAATTCTTGAATTCTTTATTATGCTTCATATTTTATGCTACTGTTTTATGTGCACTTTCTAAGAATTTCTATGATTACCACTCCTGATTTTGTGTCAAAAGCTACATTTCCTTCTTGCTTTGGAAGCTGAGGTAATTCAGAATAACAAGAAGTCCTTCTAATTCAATATGAGGATAACATGTAAGTAAGGAATTCAGTGAATAATACTCCAATGAGAAATCAAATAACAAAACCCTCAAAGAAATTTAAATAAATAATAAAAAATGTAAATACAAAGCAAGAAAGACATTTTAGCTCAAACTCATTCCCCCAGCTCACACCAAATGCACAGTAAGTGTTTTGGGTTTATGTGATTTCTATGATTCAATATTTCTTTACATGGATAAGACACTGCAGGAGCAGTGCTGGTATTTAATTACAATCCAGTGCATCATCTTGCACTGTGCTGTACTTACAGTTTCATGTATTATGACACGCTTGTCCACAGACCTTTAAAAAAAACCAACACATTGACATTAAAAGGATGCAAAGAGGAAAAAGGAAACTATTTTTAATTAAGGAGAGGAAGAAAAAAAAATCCTTTCCATGAATAATGTAAGGGCAAATGGATTTCTTAACACAATTTTATAGGAAGCTTAGATATCTAAATCCTCTCAATTTATGCCCACCTTAAAACAACAACACTGATTAGCTGTACAGTAAAGATCTGTAATTAAAATACAAAAGCTTCCTTGAGAATTTCTGATGTAGAGGACTGACACAGTGCTTATGCAAACTGTCCTCCCTGGTCTCCACTGTTTGTACCATATCTGCTCTCAAGTAGCACCAGTGAAGCAGATGCACACTCTGGATAACCATGATCTGCTGTCAGCACTTCTCTTTATTTTTGAAACCCTTTCATTTGTGGAGCAGGCTAGAGGAAGTAGGGCAATGCAATAAATACATAAAATACAGTGGTGCAATGCAAGCAACACATAAAGTACTTCATTAAATACAAATTGCATATTTATTTACCATGACAGCAGTGTTTCCTGCAAGACTTTATGGGATAGACATTTCACAACCACATAAGCAAAACAAAAATCCATACGTCTAACAGAAAATAAAATAACTCTAGATCATGAACATTCATAATGATCTCCAAATACTGAAAAAGACATTCTTAAAAAGAATGCTAAGTAAAATGTCAATGAGCTATTGTCTCCCAGGACTTTTACAGTTTTACAATTATTTTCTGGCTATTGTAGTATTTTTGTTTCCCTTTGCAAGATGTTGTTTTTTCTCTTTCAACTTAGAAAGTCTTTGTAAAAAAAGACAATTTAGAGTTCAATAATTTTATTTGTTACTTCAAGTCGCTACTTAGACAGCTTAGAAATGATTAAGCAGTTTTCCTGAGAAGTGCAGAATAAAAGCACAGTCACTAACATTAAAAAGAACACGAATTATTGTATCTACCTTATTTATAATTTCCTCTTTCAATAGCTTGATCCCCCAGCAAAGCCACTAGTAACCAGCTGGTGGTATATCTTTGTGCTGATCACCAACAACCATTTTAGCCTGACAGTCCCATCATTTTTCCTCACAACTTACCATCTACTTTGCAGATCTGTATCTCCCCAATTTAGGTCTAAGACCACATTGGGAGACCACATCAGAAGCCTTGCTGAAGTTGAGGTGCAAACCACATGCTGCTCTGCCCATGTTCCCACCACAGGAGGCAGACAGGTTGGTCAGGCTCCTCATCCTCATTCAGTTCCTGCTGTTTACCCCATATAATAGAATCACAGAATGATAAAACTATTCTGGTTGGAAAAGCCCCTTGGGATCACAGAGTCCAACCATCATCCCTACTCTACAAGTTCTCCCCATAACCATCTCCACCAACACCACACGCAAACGACCCTTAAACACCTCCAGGGATGGTGACTCCACCCCCTCCGTGGGCAGCCTGTTCCAGTGTCCAACCACTCTTTCTGTGAAAAAGTTTTTCCTAATGTCCAGTCTGAACCTGCCCTGTTGCAGCTTGAAGCCATTCCCTCTTGATCTGTCACTAATCACCTGTGAGAAGAGACCAGCACCAACCTCTCCACAATGACCTTTCAAGTAGTTGTAGAGACTGATAAGGTCTCCCCTCAGCCTCCTCGCCCTCAGATTAAACATTCTCAGCTCCTTCAAGCCTTCTTCATCAGATTTATTCTCTAGGCTCTTCACCAGGTTCATTGCCCTTCTCTGTCCTCGCTCCAGCACCTCGAGATCTCTCCTGAATTGAGGTGCCCACTGGAAGGATTTGCTCCATAACCTTCCCAGACTGGAGTTAAGCTGACTGGCCTGTAGTTCCCTAGATCCTCTCCTTTGCCCTTCTGGGAGGTACGTGTGACATTTGCACCTTTCCAGTCCTCAGTAATGTCCCATCACATCCTGGGTCTTTCAAACATTACAAAGTGACCTTGCAGTGACCCTGGCAACTCCTTCATCTCTCTCAAAGACTAATAATAATACTAGTCTCTGACAGTCCATGATTAATTTGGGTCTTAACCTTTTCTCTCTACAGCGCTGACATCAAAAGCACAGGTGTACCGTTATCTCAATCATGCACTTTTTAAGGAAAAAAAGATGTATGTTGCCATCCTCTAGATGTGGATCAGTGAAGACATTTTTAATTTCAACTAAATCTATCAAAGACAAAATCTCAAGATACTTAACTTTCTAAAAAGTTCCTGAAAGTGAGTGAGAAGGAAATCTTAAATGGTGTCCCAAAGAAATGCTAAGATGGCAATAAAGATTTGTAGTTTTTATATTCACAGAAATACCTGCAAACCAGGTAATCATGGATCTCATTACTATACTCAAGAGAATAGAGCCTGCAACATCCTAGATTTCAAACTCAATCACTCACAAGACACTGACTGACTGGAAAGACACTTCAATAGCTCTGGAGGTCACAGAACATTATTTCTTAATTCCTTATTTATTCCTTAATTCCTTAATTATTCAAAATCTATTTTGAAATCTTCAACTCTTCTGCACTTTGTGTTTTTCAGTACTGAAGTATGAACCTGGGCAGTCATCTGCATGAAATTCAAACAAGTAAAAGATACTGCTTACCCTGAAACTAACATTTGCCCATCATAAGAAAATGCACAAGCCAGAACTGGGGCAGAATGTCCATTCAGTGTGCACTTATATTTTAATTCCACACCTAAAAATACAAAAAGTAAATAATTACACAGTTACATTTGACAAGGTATAAGACAAGCTGCTTTTAGAAGTGTAAAGCTGCACCTAAGATCTGACTCTGTGACATACTATCTACAAAACAGGGGATAAAAGATCACAGAGACAATTTAATTTAACATCTCTGACTTCCTCACCTTGTAGTCTCAGCATGTCTAAGAGTGTTCAGATAATACAATGTGTATCTGTACACACAACATTAACTCTTACAGATTTCTATATATAAGACATAAACAAAAAATACCCACTGAGGATGTTTTTGGCCATTAGCCTGGTCTCTACATAGCAGTCACACCTCTGTGCTGCAGCTTTAGCAGGAGACCACACTGTTCTCATTTCTCCAGCTCTTTCTCAAGGGCCAAGAGGTGCTGACAGACAAAAAGGACCTCTCCCTGGCCTGGCAGACTGAGAGGTTTCAACCTATCAACCTGCTCAAAGGTCGCTGTAGAAATGTTACAGGTTACCAAAAGATAAAAATAGTAATTAAAACCAAATCTTTATCATAATATTCAGCTTGAGAGAACTGGAAGTTTTTTTCTAAATCTTAACTTCTAGAGTTACTGGTAAATAGATCACTAAATAAAATATACAAGGCCAAATGTCACATAGTGCTGCATGCCTTACCTGCTCCTCTGCTAAACAATTAACAGAAAACTTTCAGCTTGTGGTTCCTTTGGCTGCGAATTCCTGACAACAGTGTAAATTTTTTCTTAGATTTTAATTGTAATGTAAAGACTTAAGACACTGGAATATGAAAAAAAACCAACTTTGCTATACACACCTAAGAAATCTGTAAATAAAATAAGCCAGAGTTTGATCTGATTATCTTGACCACAAGAAGCCATCTGGAAGTATGTGAATCCATGCTCACCATCTGATAAAATTCAAATATATTAATCAGAATCAAAACCACTGAAAACAGTACAGCAGTAAACTACAAGAGCATTCTTAAAGAGGAATTTGGTAAATTTCCTTAATCTCAGTACTACAAAAAAAGGTGTTAATAAATGTAACTCCGCAAGTTCTATAACCGTTTAGAAATAAGAAACAGGTGTCACTGTTATACTGTTTCCTGACAAAGTAGATAAAAAACAGAAGTGTGCTCACTCCTCAGTCTACTGAGTGCATCAATGTAGTCTTTCAACCAAAATTATATGGGTACACCCATTTCTTCTGCAGTTCTGTAGCTCTCAAACTTAACCACTTACACATGTACAAAGTATCAGAGTATCTGACAGGCTATTTTAATTATAAATGTTCAACTTATAATTTTTATGAACTAAGTGAGTTTCATGACTGCAACCGAGCCAACCACTTGAGAAATACTGCATCAAAGATGAAATACAACAGTATAATAGCTTTATAGCTTTCCCCTCTCTGTTCAGTGGATATGAACATTTCTGAATTATTATGTTATTCCATTCTAATGTGTTGTTTCAGTCCATTAACAATATTTTTTTAATTCTTAAGTCCTGTGCCAAATTGTTTCTGCTCCTCTGCTCCCATGACCTGGCATATGCACCTGACCCAAGCAGCCGTAACAACCCTCCAGCGGCATCACCTCTGCCAGTAACAAGTCTTAGAATTCCTACAAGGATCACCAGGATTAAGGCTGAAAAATCAGAAACTTGAAAGGGACATTACAAGGGTTCCTCTTTCCAGCTCTGAAGTTACCAGGAATGTCACAATACTTACTGTTGAGTGTCTTAGAAAACAACCCCAGAGATTTTATCTCCATTTTTCCACCACATAAAGTGGATAGTATTTTCACCAAGACAGATCCAGAGGCATTATTTAAAGATTAAACCCATTTCTATTGTGACAGGTTAATTCAATGTTGTCCCTTCACCATTCAATGGACAAACATTTGATTGATTTGGTATTGTCAGTCACTGTCTGTTTTGAAGTATATGCTTACACCCTGCCTCCTCAGCTTCCTCCTGCTTCTTTTTTTTTCCCAACTTCTTCCCCTCCTGTTTTCCTGCTCTGTACCACCTTCTCAGATGAGGAGGTACACAGATAGACAGCAGTACTTACTACCGTGTTGAGCACTGCAAGAGGCAAGTGGCTGTCCAGTTATACTGTTTGGGACCTTTGCTAGAGCAGCTCATGTGTACTCTGAAAACAGAAGCCCACCTCTCTTTACAGAGACCACTTTGTCTCCACAGTAGATCTGGACAGCACAGAAGCACCTACAAGGTTGTTAAGACAAGTTGTAGCATTACTCCCTAACTGTGACAATGAGGCTTCTGCTCAGTTTCCCAACCTCCATCAAAAGCAGGTGGCTACATGATTTTCTAACTCCTTGTTAAACACTTACACCTGGCAAAAAATTACACAAATTAACCTTTCAGCATTTCAAACTCATAGATATTTCAGAATTTCCAATATTTGGTACTTCAGCTGTGACATACACTTGCCTCTCCTGCAATTAATTTGTACCAGGAAATTTGAAATAGAAGTTCTTTTTGTTTGTGCAAATGTTTCCTCCTGCTATATAAGCTATATAACCCTAGACATGTAACTCTTCAGTACTGACACACTAATATACAAGAAGTCAGTGTTGCAAATAATTAATAAATAATTGCAATAAACAATTGTACTGGTTTGGGCTGGGATAGTGGCTCCCGTGGAGCAGTTGCTGGGTGTGTGACCAAGCAGGGCTGGTGGCACATGTTGGTCACAGCCTCCAGGCCTTGGCTGCTCCTCACCCTGCCCCACCAGCGAGCAGCCTGGGGGGCACAAGGAGCACAACAGCTGAGCCCAGGACCAAAGGGTTGTCCCACACCACATGGCATCGTGCTCAGCAAAGGAGCTGGGTGAGAGGAGGAGGAAGGGGAGAATGTGCAGAGTTGAAGCCTTTGCCTTCTCCAGCCACCACTGCACATGGGAGAGCCCTGCTTTCCCAGACATGGCAGAACACCTGCCTGCTGAGGGGCAGCACTGGGCTGATTCCCTGTTTTGCTCTGCCTGGGCGTGCAGCTTTTGTTTTCTCTGTTCAACTGCCTTTATCTTAACCCAGGAGTACTTGCACTTTTGCCCTTTGATTCACCCCCCATCCCATGGCAGGGAGTGGGCGAGCAGCTGCATGGGGCTGAGCTGCCCCATCACAGAGAAACTACAATAATTTTTAATTTACTGCAAATCCAAAGCTTTCCCTGAGCTAGCTACAAGTTTAAATACGCAATTTTCAGTATACATGGTTTTGCACATAGAAACATCTAGGTTCAAATTATTTTAGTTCCACAGAAAGCCTTAAAAATGTGAAATGAATGAAAACGGAACATATTGTGCCATGGAGCCCTGAGAAGGCCCACCCTATGCATGCCTTATGTTTTTCATCTCAATATCCAAATATACACAAGAATGTCAGATTTCATTCTGAAAAACAAGAACTAAGCTCTTGCCCATCACAACGGTGAAGAAGCACATAATGACAAAATTGAAATACAACTTGTACAGTGAGGTCATCTAAAAGAGCTACAAGATGTGAACAGTGCCACACCTTAGTGGGACACACGGGAATCTGGGCTCATTGCTCCCCCAGATTCCTCCAACTGAGAATGTCAGGCACAGGAAACAGGCCATCTGTTCACATCCCACAGGTTTACAGTTCTCTGCATTGCTTTAATCCAGTCCTGCTCTTTTTAGAACCAAAGTATGAAAGGGTAAACTGGGAATCTTCTCACCCCCCTGTTAGCCCTGGAAGACAGGCTTCCCTTACAGACGCCACCCAAACATTTTCCAAAACCATAGCAGGATAATTAGCTACTCAAAGCATGCTGTTCACTCTGTTTGTGAACCTAGCACATTCCTTGTCATCAACCTGACCACAACTTTTACTTAAGAATATTCAGAATATTCTAAAACATCACCTCTTCCCAATGTCAGTTGTATCTTGGAGCAGTGATGACAAAAAGAATATTAAATCAAGAGCTAGAGAGAAATAAAATAATACTTTATCTTTCCATGTTCCTCCCTGATGAGTCAGGTAACTAACCAGAAATTGGCTGTGAAGAAATATCACAGCAGGTAACGCCAAGATCATGTGCTTTCTCATTATACAGGCATCTCATTTTATCATCCCAAATGGTTAAATCGCCACATGATGATCCAGTGATAAAGAAATTTCCATTAGGAGAAAACGCACAGGCCACCAAAGAACCATCTTTAACATTCCCAGATCTGAAAAGCAAGAGTACATGGGATTTGAATTTAGAGTAAGTAATGTTCTGAGGAAGTGAACACTAAAATGCAATCTGATACGATAAGACAAACTGTTCTAACTTTTGCATTTGGGAACTTGGTGCCAGAATGGAGAGAAACTCATATCAGCTGTGAGGAAAGAGATGCAAAATAAGCACAGCTGCAGCAACCAGGACCTGCTCCTCCACTGCAGGAGGTAAAAGGTAAGATGGCACCCCAAGGCAATAATTTTAACTGAGTGATAAAATAACTTTCAAACTAAAGACACTCTGCATGGACTTACTATTTAAAAGGCACCATGCACTATTAAAATTCTATGGCAGGATAAACTTTAAAAGTCAAAGATACACAACTATTATAACAGAGATTACATGTATAAAAACAGAGAGAAAAGACTCCCACGATTTTTCTGTTCTGTTTTAAAGACAAAGCAGAAGACCTACTAACCCATAGGATAAGCTGGAACACATAGGACTGGAACATTCCAGTTCTTTGTTTCTTTACAAAGGAAACACCAAATCAGTCTAATTTCTGCTTAAAACAACAACATAGTTTCTAGAGCCATTACACATCCTCCATTCAATGAGGAAGGAACTAAGGACATAGGTCTAAAAGATCACTGCATATATTAATAGCATATACTTGTAAGAAATTACTTTTTAATATTTCTGAGGTTTTCCCTGTCAATAACAAAAATTCTGAATAAAAATAAGGAACCTCTTTGCTAGTAACACCTCAAAAGAGTACCCTTTGACTTCAGAATACTAATAACTGAAATTCCCCATTTTTCTTACAGATAAAACTTTGAAACAATTAGTAATCAATACCTCTTTATTCTCTGAAAACAAAGTAACCATTTCAGCGTTTTTGTGTCCATTACAAGCAAAAAGGTGGCAAAAGTCTTTAAGAATTATGTTTATGGACAGATTACCAAATTTACACAATTTCATATAATCATGTAACCATATATAACTATAGTACTCAATCGTTCTGATTTGTCAGGAGATTAACAAAACCAAACAAGTTTGGTTTTCAGAAACAGCTACTCCCTCATCCTGAGTGAAAAATCTCATCAATTCTCTCAATTTTTTAACTTCTTTCCTTACTTTAGAGAGATGTTGTGTAATTGCTGCTCTAAAACCTAAATAGTGTCTTGCAGGTTACAGCAACTGACCTGAAATGAAATATAGATGCAGAGAAGAACTCTGGAGATCATTAAAAATGCTCATCTACTTTGTTAGAAACGTTTAATGAAAAACCATATGAAATGTTGACAGTCAAATTTAACTCACTCAGCTCCTATACCACTTTCTGTCACTGTTATGTCAGACTTTTAAGGATATGTCAATAGTTTTCGAACTTTCTCATTGCTGAGTTACTATCAAGCTCCTAGGATCCTCCTGGACTCCAAATAGCCTTGTACTTAAATACTTCAATAAAAACAGTATGTATGTATGTATGACACACAGCACAGTCAAGCTCCACTAACTGTCTATTACATATCAGTTTGTTGAGCACCTGTTGAGAAACCAGACAAATGCAATCTATCTCCATCTCATTTTAAAACAAAACCAACTGAACACCTCCATGACCTTAAAAAACAATCAGGATCTAGATGAAAGATAATTTAGCACAAATGAAAACTTACTGAGCTTGCACCATTTAACTTATTTTTTTTTTAAAAAAAGGCAGCCCTTCTCCCTCTCCTATTGATAATCTCTTTGTCGTCCAAACCCTGTTCCTGTCTCCCTGTGATGACGATCAGCAGCGCAAGCCCCGCTCACAGCTCAGCTCACCGCTCACAGCACAGCTCACAGCACACAGCACAGCTCACAGCACACAGCACAGCTCACAGCACACAGCACAGCTCACAGCACACAGCACAGCTCACAGCACACAGCACAGCTCACAGCACACAGCACAGCTCACAGCACACAGCTCAGCTCACAGCACACAGC